CGCGACTTCCAGGACAAGTTTATTGACGCACTCAAAGAAGTGTAGGTGTTCTCCTTAGCTTTTCGCCCTTCACATCGTGACACCATTTTTATACTATGCTTCGATGATTTCGTTCTGACCTACTTACTAATTTCCGCCTTCCCTTACAGCTACGAAGAGTTCTACCCCGACGCCGCCAAGCGCTCCGCCGTCTCTGACTCCTACAGCCGCCTCATCACCACTCAGGCAACAGCACGCATTGCCGGCTTGCTCGAGAAGACGCAAGGCAAGGTCGTCTTTGGTGGCGAAGTCGACAAGGACAACAAATTCATCGCGCCGACGGCTGTCAGGGATGTTGGACCTGGGGATTCGTTGATGAGCGAGGAGATCTTTGGCCCGGTGCTGCCTATTGTGCCTGTGGATAGCATTGACGATGCAATCAAATTCATCAACGAGCGGTACGTCCCTCTCTTCTGGCTTGTCTAAGAAATGGCGTTGATGAGTTGTTGTCTGCTCTAGCGAGCACCCGCTGGCGATCTATGTTTTTTCGCAAGACGACCAAGTCAAGACCAAGGTCTTCGACAGGACGCAGAGTGGTGCCGTCGTCGCCAACGAGACCGTCATCCATCCCGCAGGTACGATCATTAACCTCCTTTTCACTTGGATTTGACTAACTTCGGCACTTTTAGCTGAGGGTTTACCGTTTGGTGGTGTTGGACCCAGCGGATGTAAGCAAGATTTTCATTCTCTCTGTATCGACTATATATATAATCTCGATTCTAGACGGCATGCACACCGGCCAGTATAGCTTTGATATGTTCACCCACTTCAGGGCGTCCATGGATTCTCCAGGATGGTACGTTCTTGCTCCGAGCCTCTTTTAGACACCATCTTCACTCAGACTCCTGCAGGATCGATACCATCCTCAAGTTCCGCTATCCTCCCTACAATGTGCGTCTTTCCTTTCACTTGCTCGCCCTTTCTCGTTTAACCTCTTGTCTGCAACTTAGGATGCCAAAGTCAAGGCGACCCTCAACCTTGCGCCCTCCGTTCCCAAGCGTCCCTTAGGACCGCCTACAAAAGGCGGTAGCAAATGGTGGGGAAAATGGTTCCTTCTGGCCTTGGCCGTCGCTGCTGCTGGACTGACTCGGGCGAAGAGGTTGAACTAGGCTTTACAGCTTTCGTTTCCTCCTCTTGCCTTTTTCGCTTCCTCACTTTCGATTGCTGCGCCCCTCCCGGCCGATTTCCCTCGTTCCTCTTCTTGTTTGCTTCATAGGTCTGCTCTCCACTATATGTAACAACGTCCAGTGTTGTCGGTATTAAATACGTGCAATTTCGCCTGCAACGTGGAGGATCAGGTTGGGGGAGTAAGGTGGAAATGGTGGTGGTGTGATAATGATGCTAACCAACGGGTTCCCTCTATACATCCACACAACATATGCTGCTACCGGAGTTATTGATGTCCTCCAGAATCCATTTGAATTTATTATGACTCTGCAGACCACCAACTACGAGCACATGAGGAAGATCTAAGTGTGCCAGCCGTACATCCCTCTATGTTTGGCAGTGTCCGACAAATTCCAACCCTGCCTGACACAATCACGGACTTTTGGGTAACTTCATCGACGGAACGACGATAGCATTATTTTCTACGACGTTGAGAGCAACGACCTGTTGGTTCAAATATTATAAGAACTGGACAAGGATTGTGCTACTCGACGTCAGAACCTACTCTTTAGTCGTGTCGACAAGGTTTAATAAACGGCTACATAGACGAATACCTCAGTGCTTCTTCGGTGCCTTCTTACTCGAGCTTGCCCGGATCGATGAGTGGGACACTGGCAAAGAATGTTTGGCTTGGGGAAGGGTCGGCTTTGCGACCCTATGGCGGGACGATGCAGGTCTCTCAGCAGCGGGTCTTCTGCCATGGTCAACGATTGCGGAATGGGGAGATTTACTCACTGTAGGCTTGCGTCCGTTCCTGGGTTGACCGACACCCTTCGTCGAGCGACGAGGGCTGGCTGATATTGGTCTCCGGCCTGTGAATCCCTTCCCAACTACGTGCGCCACGTGCGGCTTGGCATCGGTGTGTGGCGCATTTCCCTTTGAGGCTCCAACAATATGTGGCACGGTCGACTGCCGCGGCGTCGTCCTTCCGAGCTTTGTCCCAATGCCCCGGCGCATTTCCTTTGGCTTCTCCTTGACCGCGGTCTTCCCCGTGGTAGTGGCGTGGTCGTGAGTCTCCTTGGACAACCTGTGGCCGCTCGGGGGAACCATGCTTTTATGATACGGATGGGCGTGAGCTATCCTCTTTCCTTCACTTCCAGACACGGAACGATGGCCTGCGCCGGTCGATTCCGCCATCTTTAATCCTGTACCTTTGACCTTCCGGTGGAAAATGGACTTCCCAGATGAACGTGTATACGTCGCTTTCGTGTCTTGTCGATAGCTCTTCCAGTGGAGCGAAGATTTCCACGACTAGGCGAACTTTCTCTGTCTTGTGTGGGTCTCTTCTTGAGCGTATTTGGCTTACGCTTTTGATTCTGGCCACTGTCGGCCGCCTGAATAGACGGCACCGAAAGCCCTGGTGGGGCAGACCAATGAGAAAAGACGGAATCTCGCGACGGCGCATGATCGAGAGGAGCCGGAATGTCGGAAATGTGATACGCCCCGTTGTGGGTTGGGGAGTGGTGCTCCCGGTGGTTCGTAGGACTTTCTCCCACTGGCGGATCTTTCTTGAGCTTATTCCCGTCGTGGGTCGTGGCACCATGGTGGGATCCCTCAGCACCATCCTCCTCGAGAATGGTATGCAACCTGGTGGAGGCATGTCTAGAAGGTCCCGCCACGCCTTGGGCTGCATGTCCTGAGGTTGACACCGACGCCGGTCCAGAAGTAGAGGGCCGGCCTTGGGACGGCCGATGGTTCTTGACAAGCTTGTTGTTTGTCGCTAGTTCTTTCTGATTGGCCTGCGATTTAGCGACGACCATAGACTCTGGCCTCAGAGGATGTACTTTCTCGTAAGGACCGTCGATAAGATGCGGCGCGCTGGCAAGGTCGTGGGCGTGCTGGGTATCTGCAGACTGTGGATGCCCATATTGATAGAATGGGTAGTTCGCCTTGACCGGATAATCAGGTGGCAGCATATTGGGAACTTCATGCTGCCTGCCTGTTCGGTGGAAGCCATGAAACATTGTGTGGGCTAGGAGCTTGTAAGAGTCAGCGTTCTGGTGCATATTCTTGGCGTTCTGCTTCAGAAGGGGGAAGTCTGCGTGGTCGTGGTCTAACACCTGCTTGGTTAGACCTGAATACCCTTGAGACGGGCCGGAAGTGACTCACAGCCCTTGTGGTAGTGCGTGTCTTTAAGCGCGTCCTTTCTCGCAGTGGGAGTAAATTTGCCATCACTGGTAAAGAGATCGTGGATACCGGGATGCAGCGCATGAGCAGCCTCATGGATCAAAGTTCCAGCTTTGTCCTCTACTTTCTTGTTGTAGAAACCGTGCATAAGCCGAATATCCCTGTGTTCAAAGGAGGCGTCTGCATTTACCCCCTCCACGGGCAAGAGGATATCCTTGACCCTGAGCTCCTTTGTACCATGAATGCTTTTTACTACCTGCCGAATCTCATCGATATCCGCGTTAGGTCCGAATGCATAGTCGATGTGGTGCTGGTAGGCGGCGACAGGGATATCCTTGTTGTTGAGGATGCCGTGCAATTTGTCTATCTGCTTGTTGGCTTCAAGCGTATCAGTGAATGTTAGGATCTACTGTATAAGCCGAGAATCATCCACTCACCGAAGTCAGCTGCTTCTTCTAGTTGCTTCCGGTGCTCCTTGTGATCATCGTGGTGCGCCTTGGAGTCTTTGTAATGAAGATAGAATGGTAGAGCGTAAGCTCCTGAGGGTTGCATCAGCAATGGTCGATATATTTAAGTACAGCACAACTGACCATAAACAATTGCGAGATAGTCGAGAAGCAACAGATGGAAAATAAGGCTGAGACGCATGTTTGAATTTACTTCGGGACCAGGAAAATACTTAGAGAGGTAAAGGCGGCCAGCACCTAAATTTGCGCGTCTTGTCAGAAAAATGCGGTAAGGTAGCATTAACAATTTGAACTCGCCTTTTCGAACGACCTGAGTGTCGAGGGGACACTGGGGCGCAGACTGGACGATTTATAGTTGCGCAGAGCGCCCACATACCGGGATTTGCGGGTTAGCGCGACGCCGCGCATCTTGACCAGCTTGTGTCCCAGTGGGCGTTGATTGATTGTGTGACCCACCGACAACTTTAGCACTGTCGGAGTACTGTCGGAGGCGTTATTTAAGCGCAGCGTGGGCACTAATATCAAGATGGACCCACATCCACGCATGCATTCAATGCTTCCCGCTAAAGTTGGATGAACTACGAATACTCGGATGCTGTACGATTTAATTTGAATTATAATTGTCTTTTGGAAGTGTCTGAAATGTAGACTTAAGAATAATGGAAGTTATCGATCCTAAATCCTGTCTCCAAACGGATATGGGGGAAGTTCTGCGCTTTGAGACAAATGGGAGTAAAGACATCTTCAATGGTGGCGTGCACATTGGCCTTGGCGACGTTCCTTGGGATTAAGTACCTGAGATCGATCCGCACGTCGAGAGCATTCCCATTTGATATCCTTCCGATCTCGCGTTCAAGAGCTGGCCAATCTGCCTTGATGAAGTGCTCTGGGCTATGCCCATAGGACAGTTGATCGTGGATTGTGATGTCCAGTATCCGAAGCGTTCTAATAGTCTGGAGAATGCTATTGACTCCAGCGAGTGGATCCTCTTTGACGGTCTTGTTGCCAACAACAAAATCAAGTACCAGGCGGTGCAGCTGGCGCACTTGGCAGAGATTGATATGGCCAGTGAAAGGGACATAATCTTTGCAACGGTGAGTGGACCATCATACTCCAGAAACAGAACGCTTACTTGGATTATCAGTTGATGAGAAGAATATGTTCCGGAGAGTCCCCGATGCCTTTTCGATGAGGTCTTGAGAGACGATGACGTCTTCTAGATTATACATGTGAACTTTGAGAGTTTGAAGCGTCGATAGTTCGACTGTCATTGTTGACTCCGGAGATTGTGACTTTGCCAGTGTCCGGATGGAGTCAACTGCGGAATAATACTCTAGGTGATGAAGTCGAGGACGAGATGAGGGAGGATAGTGGTTCGAAAAAGTGTCGAGATTCTTCAGCGTGAGGTCAGTGTCGCTAACCTGGAGGATCTTCAACTTGGGGGAGCTGGCCAAAATCGACAACGGGAAGTCTGGGATGCTTTGAAGCTCCAAGGAAGCAACATATGGGAGGATGACAGGGAAGAACTTTGTGAGCACGGCGGATGGGCAGACAAGCTCCCTGTAATGCCCCTCCAGCGTTACCCTTTCGATTGCATGTTTCCCGTTTACGAGAGCCTTCATAACCTCGAGAAATGTCTCGTCGTTTCCGAGCCAATCATTGTCAGGGGTGATGATTATGTGGATGCACATAATATAGGACGACAGACCCGGGTTTTGCTGCATCATTTCTCGCAATTCTTTTATGCGTGAAGCGCGCTCTCGACTGCCCTCCTCTGACTCCTCCGGAGTCCCGAGTTTGATATTCCGAAAGATATTAGCCTGGCTTCTTGCGGTGAAGGAGCGACATACGAGTGGGCAGCTCTTGTGATGTGAAGACAAAGCTGCCCTGTTTAACAAGTCAGAGTAATTGGCGTCAATGATCGCGTCGACCATGTCCTGCGAGAGTCGGTAGATCGGTCCCTTTTCCATGTTGTGGCGGGGTGTAGGAAAGCGCGGGGTGCTTGAACAGCTTGATCGAGTTGCTCTGATGCAGCGATGATCATCTCTTCGCACGACGTCAACCGTTTTTATTTGCAACTGTAGGTCCAGTGATAGTGACACGTGCCATGGCATTTCCGCATTCAGCTCTCCCTTATTTCGCACCTAGTCCCGGTGCTTCAAGCTGGCTTCAGGTTATTCCAAGAGCTAAAGAAAACCACATCATCTGTAATCTCGACGAAGCAGCCACCCTTCAGAGGTCACAAGTAGGATCGATGTATCACGGTAGCGGGGGCCCGTGGTACCCTCAAGACTATTCCTTCATCCAACGCGTTCAAGCATCAAGATTGTATTCCTTCCAGAGAAATACTTTTAAATAAAACAATCCTCTTTTACAACTGCTCGAGCAACCCTCGATCTGTTCCTCGGACTTATTGACTTCGGGAATACACTGTGCTTTGAAAATGTACCCGATGAGTGCGAAGTTAATTTTAGACGAACTAGCAGCCATGAACTCCACAATGCCTGAGAGAATCTGGCAATTTGCATCCACATTGGCCGTACCCCGTTCTGCATCGTGTATAGAGTACAAGTATCAGGATGCCTTCTTCAAAGGCAACGCAGATCGACTTGGGGAATCGTTCTCATTCATTCTCGGACTTTACGGTAACACATTGTATCCCGTGAAAGGACATAAAGGGAGACGCACCTCAGTTTCAGGACAGGGAGCTAAATAATCGAAGATGAGAATTTCTTGCCATCCCTCGACGAACACAAACCTCCCTGAGATAGGGCAGAAACTGGAGTCGGCAATTATTTGTTGGTCCGTAGGACACAATGCGTACGCCTTGGATACGAAAGCGGGATCGGTCGCTTCACCAGGTGTGGACGAACTAGTGCGGATCCCCCTGACGCGGTCTCGGTTGTTGCTCCACCATGCCACCAGCGTCCCCTCACAGAAGCGATACGGCTCGAAGACACCGTCCCCGAGCGGAAAATAAGTTGTCGAGAGCCGGACGAGTTCCGCCTTGGTCAGGTCGTTGTCCAATAGGATCTTGTATCTGGCTATTGTGTCGGGGAAGGACGTGTCTACTATGTCGAACAAGAGGGGTTGAGCAAGTCCGGAGTACCAATCGCACGGCCCTTCGCAGTATGACCCGAACCCTAGCAGGTCAGTGTCTGGGAATGAGATGCTGAATAGCGGCGCTACTGGTGCTATATGACTTTCGGAGAATACTGGCTTCCTTGACGAAAGAAGAGGAGTTGCCCAGATGTTTATGCCTCGGGTATGAATAAGAATAACGACCTTGGCTGTTACAATAATCTGGGTTTTGGGGTTCAATGGACGATTCTACCCCGGAAGATACGACTCAGAGAGGATGACGGACCTGTAAACAGTCCAAATTCGCCTCAACAGTCCAAACAGCCCACGTATCCTGCTTGAAATCCCATATCTTCACGTATGAACCGTGTAATATCACCAATCGATTGTCCGAAAGCGAATAGAACGACGAGTGCCGAGGCTGATTCTGCAGCTCTGCGATTCGTTCAAGCTTTGCGTCGTCATCGGCAGGGTAGATCTCGTAAATTACAAATTCGGAGAGCCTGGGTAAGATCGATCAAAAAACGACCGCCGCCTTGTGGGAGGCAATGTACTCACTGCTCATGGCCATCGTCCGAACCATCAGAGTCGTTCGAATCCGATCCTCCAACGTCAACGTCGGAGGAGAGATATATCCGAAATCCCCTGCCGTCCGGGGTGGGGTGAACGAGGAACATGGACTCGTAGCGGACAGGCGCGATCGCCAATGGCTGAAAATCTTCAACACAGGTAGAGAGCGTCATGCCGAGGTCCCAGACTCCTATCCAGTTCCACGCGAAAGTAACAAGATAGCGCCCACCAGGAATGAGATATAGCGATGTTATGATCCCAGGCTCCTGGTTTCCCAGATCGATCAACACTTGACGTGGTGGCCGGAGGAGACGTGCTGTATCTGGGAGCAAGAATTCCTTGAGATCGCGACATACTGGCAGAGATATCCAACGTCTCGGGGCCGTGGCAGCGTATTCGAGCTCCAACAGGGACATGTCGGAGAAGGAGAACGTTGGAAGGAACACAGAATTCTCAAAACAGATCCTTCGGAGAACCGACACCCAAACGATCTTCCTTGATGTTGCGTGATAGAATGTGTTACAGGTCTACTGACTCGGTAAATTTTGAGGACTGTATCGACAAGATGCTGAAGGCATACCTTTCGTAGACTCAAAATCGAGTGAGGATCCAAGAATGTCATTGTTTCGGCCTGTAAGTCGAATGGGAGATTGAGAAGCTCTGAACGAGCCTCATCAGGCGTCCCTTCCATCAAGAGCTTACGGATGGGCAGATAGCATGGTTTTTTGTTCACGGATCGTTGATTTATGTATTTGTCGAGCACCAGAGACGAGACTTGACATGAGGGGAAGGTCACTTTCGTCAGGTCGCAAACGTAGGATGCTGGCTGTTGACAGAATAGATGCGCCGATTGCGATCCAACGGAGTTCGGCCAGTCCCGTTGATGGGCACAGCCACGTATGTTGGGACCCGAATCTCGGACCGGTAATGTCGGATCCTTGTCGTACGGCTCTTCAACTGAACCACCACCAGCCCCTTACGAATTCCTCTGGCATTTACTCTATCAAAGGTTCCAAACCGGACCTGTTCTGAGATATGGCTGGCCCCGGTGGCACTGGTTTCAATCATCTTCCCGTTGATACTCTAATCAACATCATGAGTTTTCTTCCTCCATCAGCAATTTTCGCGCTGCGCAAGGTGAGCGTCTGCATTGCCTCCTCTTCCTGGAATTACTCAAAGCTTTGATATAGCTCTGCAGAATATGCTACAAGGCAAGCCTCGCGCGCAGCATCTGGACTTCCATCGTTCGGAACGAGATGGAGAACCATCAGATCCCCACGTTCACGTTCCCTTTGTCGACGATGGAAGGATCAGCTTTGGAGCGACTCGCTATGTCGCCCTACCTTTTCGATCACTTTTTAGACGACCAGGATGTTGGCCCGCGGAACCCTCACGTCATCCGAATCCTACTCAATCGCTTGGAGAAATGGAAACTCAAAGACCTATCAATCCGATCTCGTAGCCCCGGGTATACGTCCGTCCACCTGGCCCCAGGAGGCAGATTCCTTGTCACCTCTTCTCCAGCGGTTGGGAACAACGCTGAAAACAAGACGCTCGTTCAGCTCTGGGACATCGGGGTTCGTGGTCATGGCTACAACAGCAAAGTATTGGCTAGTCTTGTGCTGGCAGCGACTCAGGTCCCCGCTGTCATCGCTCCTAGTCTCGATGGGAAGGGATTTTGCCTGATATGTGTTGAACAAGGAGTGTATGTGCTGTTCTTCTGGAAATCCTTCACCGTCCCATTGTCATCCTGAAATCTATCTCGTAGTGCTTTGTCCGCCTATGCCATCACAGATCCTGGCTCTTCTCCGGCCATAAAGCTTTTGAACAGTTTTCAAACACATCTGAACGGTGATGCGCTGGAATCTGCTCTATTTGTCGTGTCAGGGAGCCGCTTGGGATGCCTTCTTGACGGAGCGCACCTCGGGGTGTGGGATTTCGTGGCCAACACCTCGATAGTATGGCAAACGCATATTGATGCTTTATCCGATGTCGCAGAACTCCCTTCATGCTCTCTCCAACTTCACGGAAACTGCACCCTCCTCGCATATAACGGTAAAATATTCATTTGGAACATACTGGAGCTAGAAACAAACTTTGCAGGTCAAGCGGTCTCATTCCATCATCCTGCCTCCGTTTTTAGCAACCTCCTCATTCACTCTCACTTTGCTGAGGAAATTGATGATGAGGACGATTCGAGCCTACGGATGGTACCGCAGTCTCCTTGGAAGCCCTTCCCCTCCCAAGACAATAAAGAAGACTGCCTGGCTTTGTTCTGCGAGACACGAGCTGCCATCCACCAAGTTCACAAGCTTGACATCTTTAGCCATCCTTCAAACCGCCTTCCTGGTGTCATTCCACTGCAGCTGAATGCGACGAACGAATTTGCCTTTGACTACCTAGAGGAAGTTGGGGTTGGCCCACTTCTTCCTTGGAAGCATGCTATGGAGCACTTGATTTTTGCCGAGTTCAGGACCGTCGGCTGTCGCGTGCATCGACTATGCGAAGGTGGTGACAAGTGTGATTGCGGTATGGTGACAAAGTGTGTCGAGCTTTGTTTTGGCGACAGAAATGTGGATTTTACAGGATTTTGCCTGTTTACTGGCAGGCTGTGCTTCAGCTCTGACGATAATTTCTACATTGTGGACTATTTGGACGATATTTAAAAGCCATTGTTCTGGTATCGATGTCCTATTTAAACAAGCCATATCATCCCGGTCTTATGTATCCTTCCCAACCACTGCATGAACACGCGCATGAAGAATTCTCTCGGACCTCTGGAGGCGATTCATTTTACGCCAGGCGACCAATTTCGTGTTACGTCTAAGTACTACTAGATGGGTGACTAAAGCTTTTGAATGTGCCACAACCCACACGGAGAGTAATTTAGAGCGACCTAGGAAGAAGAGTCACTGACACGCCCGAGGAGATCGGGAGGCGACGCCATACATAGCAGCTGTCTGGTCGAACTGACTCGAACCTCAATCCAAAAGTTCCTCTCCCAGCTCGCCTATTGACCTTGGCATCGGTCGAGGACCTAGGGGTTTTGGACGCCCGGTGTGCACAAGGCTAGGCGGAGAACCGGGGCGGGGGTTGGGACGGGGACCCACAGGATGAGGGACAAGAACCTCCCATGGTCTTAGGGCACGCTCGGCGACGGATTCCTGTCCTTTCGAAGCCCTATGCGAATGACGCATGTGTGCACGAATGGCCGAATTCAATCTCTCCAGCTGGCGATGCTCTGTAGGTAAATATGAATGTGGTCAAGATACGTAAAGAGAACAACTAAAAAGAGCACCGACCATCTGCCTTGTGTGAAGCATCACTTGAGGGGTCGTGCTTCAACGGTGCAGCGAAAGCATCTACCGCGAATGGGACGACTCAGAATTGGGATGAATCGCACGAAAAATTACTTACGATGAAGCAAACTAAGGGCGCTGAGCAGCAAAATTGCTGCGAACATGATGAATCGCATGATTGATGTGAGGGACAGCACAGCTACTCGCGTACGCGATGAGCGGGAGGTGCAGAGCGATATCGAAGAGGGGCTTTCATACCTGTTTAGCGGGAGGACAGGATCGACCGGCGACCTTGCATTTCATCCGCGATACCTCCGCTCTTATATATGTTTAGGCCGCGGCGTGAGAACAGACGCAATGGCATGGTGTGTACGTGCATCAGAGGCTGTTCTGTTCGGGGCGGCAAAACATACCAGGCGATGCGAAGGCGGTGTTCGTGGGCGATCTCTGTTCAGGACCGAAAATCTTGCTGCCTATGCATATAGAAACCTCACACGCCAGGATGCCGCCTTGGAGCACTCCATACCGAGATTCCTCAACATCAATTCAAACTTATAAGTACACTTGCCAGCTCGGGAATTGTTTGTGCGCCAGTCCTGGATATTCCAAAGCATATACGCCCAAGTTCAGGCCATCTCCGGACCTTCGGGTTTCAGTGGGTCCATTCGCACCCACAAACCTCCCTAAGGCGAGGCGTTATCATTAAATACGGCTCTCGAACAAATCAACAAATGAAAAATAATGCTCTCACCTTGACATACATCGTCAAATGAGTGCCAGGAATGATCTTCTCCTTCGCCTTTGGCCGATCGGTCGCAGCCCAGCTCCCGGGCGGTTTGCTCTCGGGAGGTTGTACATCGGGTGCGAGACGGAAGTTTGTGAATTGCTGTAAGAGACGGACGAGGAAAAAGGACGCCTCGTGGTACGCAAACTGTGCAATGTGGCCACGGACGGACGGTGGTCAGTGACAAGACTAACGAGGAGGACAGGAATGCATCGGACACACCTGTTGGCCAAGGCATATCCGTGGCCCCGCATTAAAGGGTAGGAAGATGTACGGGTTCGGTGTCAGGTACTTGTGCAGGCGCTCGTCCAGGAATCGGTCGGGATCGAACTCAAGCGCTGGATCGAGCAGATGAGCAAATGTGCTTCATAGGAGAGGCCATCAAATATGTAACCACCGTCAGGGCCCCAGAGATCGGTTCGTCGATGCATATTAAAGACGCCATAGAGGACTCTAGAAGGATATTTGAGTCCGGGTCATAAATTCTATGAAGCGAGAAGCTGACCTAGTGTCCTTAGGGATATAGTACGGCTTTGATCCAGGGGCTTTCGATGTTAGGACAGCCGGTTTCGTGGTTGTCCTGGAAAACAATGGCAAATGGTCAGTAAGAGATAGTCAGGTATCCAAAGAGTTAAGCAACGCACCGACTATCGAACGGGCTGTAAGAAACGGTTGTGTATTAGCTTTCCATGAAAGAGGAGCTATGACTTGACCTACACTGGGGGATACAATCTCAAAACCTCTGGATAACGGCAATGGAATCAGATATACATCCAGGACGGGACTTCGATACGAAGTACCATTGACGAAAGCCCTTAGATATCTCATATCGCGAAGATTGTCGTATGTTGGGCGATTCGTTGGTCCGACTTGCTCAAAAACCTCTTGACGCAAGCGACGAGCGACTTCGGGGTGCTCAGCTAGCATATAGAAGGCGAAAGTGAGTGTGCATCCGGTCTGGCAAAGGGTGTTGAGTGAAAAGTCCTCTCGTAATCGAGGATCGTGTTTACCGTGTCTCTTCCCGCGACTAGGAGGTTTACAAGCTGTACCGGAGCGTGAGACCACCAATTCATCGTCGTTTAAGCTCAAGATGCAGATGCACTGACCTCATCCTTAAGAACGTTGATATCTACAAAGAGGGAGTTAATATTCGTCGAAAACAATAAATTAACTACCCCCCCAACCTTGAGTATGATGGACAAGATGCGATAACAGCGAATCTCCGTAGTCACGATCAGTGCCGGCGCCTGTATTCTCGAGATCCTTCTTCCGGAGGGCCTCGACAAGAATTGGCTGACTGAACCTGTCCAGGATGTCTCGATCCGCCTTGATCTTGTCTCCCCAGAACTCGGTCATTGGCCACGTACGACCAACGCGAGTGCGTAGAGCAGCTTGGATCTGGCTTCGGAGGAAAGCTTCTACGAACTCGTTAGATGGGTGGTTTTTGAACGTCTCCGTGTTCAGATGAGCCCATGCAGGCGGGTAGGGTATACCAGCAGATAAAGATTGTACGTCGTTCCCGAAGAGAAACTCCGTCGCTGAGTCAAGCGTAAAACGGGAAACAAGGTCCTGCGCGGGCAAAAGCGCTTAATCAGGACGGCGTGAGGATCCTCAAACTATAAGTACATGCCTGGAAATCAATGGGATACCCTTCAGCCAGTCTGTTCGCAGCTTGCTTCAGAGCATTATCGGCATGGGCCTCGAATATATCGAAGTGGCTAATTCGCTCTCGTGAGAAGAAAGGCCGTGTCATGGAACGGTGAAACCTAGATGACTCTTTGGTATCCGGACAATCAATAGCGTGAAAAGAACACCTACTTCCACATGTCGCCTGAAAGGTTATCAGAACTCCAGTAGCTTGAGAAACGTCTCAGAAGAGCACTCACCATCGGAGTTAAACACGCCCGTACCGAGCAGCGAATGCAACTGTTTGTACAGGAACGGACCTACTTGGTCTCAGTAACCCCAAGGGCCTAGAGACGGAAATAATCAAACGCCGACCTTTGTCAAATGCATCAAACTGAGTTGCAAGAATAGACTGGAAATTTAAAATATCAGCTGCAGAGAACTTTGGCAGGAGTACCTCGACAATACCTTGATATGATCAGGTTCGAAGGTGATAACCTAATGGGAGGAGTGAACCATGGCTCGAGGACGTGGGTCGCACGAAATACCCTGTTGTCGGAGATGAGCCTGAGCTGGAAGACGTTCCCGTATTTTTCCATCCACGGGAGGAACATATCACCTGAGATACAATCTGTTCAAAAACGGCCCCATGACCCAGTGGAACGTACATACCCGGATACCCATTCTTGAGATCCTTAACAAGAGCCGCCATAATCGATAAACCGGCGAAGCCAGGCCGTTTCTCCTCGACATGGGGTACGATGAAGGCGTTGCTGGCAGCCGCAGACGTCCTGTCCATGTACCGAGTGAAGTACCGTTCGAAAATCGAGAGAACGGGTCGCGCCAGTACAACAGCAATGGTCGTGAACCAGGACGACACCGTCAGACCAAAAAAGGCGTTGGAAAACTTGAATCCGCCGTAAACCACAGCGGGAGGTCCCAGCAAGAACGGGATGAGTGTGAAGATATATCGTGGCCCAGGTGGAATTGCCATCGTATTGTCGGTGCAGAAGGAAAGAGGTGTTTCAAGGAATGCGATATTTGAGTCCTATTATAGGCTGGCTTGGTCGATCATCTTGATGTAATGGACGTACAGTACATGTTCTCATAATGCATGACCTCATGTTGCATAATTCTAATAGTGCATGGACTTTTGACTAGAACTGACTCCGTACAGGGGGAAAATTGCATAATGCATAATGCATGAAGGCTCGGGCCAAGTTATGCATTATCAGTAGGGTCGTTTTCATCTAATCCACACTACATATCTATGCGATCGTGTTCGAGAATATTCTAAAAAGCACCGCGCATCCAACAAAACCGCCGGGGGAACCCACCACCCACATTCTGTCTTCCCATGCCTGCCGAACGTAACACAGACGAGCGCAAACGGAAAGTCCGAACCGAGCATGCCCCCTACAAACCGCGTAAGCCGCAGAAGGAAAAGGTCAAGAATCAGCCGAAGTCCTCAGCGCAGCCTGTCCAAAAGAAGAAACGCGACCACCTCACACTTTACGACTGGCTCCAGGTGTTTGCTTGGATTGATGACCACCCCAATGTCTCCCAGGACAAAGTCGTTGCCCATTTCAAGAACTGTGCCACGGGAGCACTTGTTTTCGACCAGTCGACGCTCTCCCGACGGTTGAGGAACAGGGCAGATATCGAAGCCCGTTCTAAATCGTTCGCGAACGCACTGTCGACAAAGCGCGTACGCGTCGTGACCCGTCCCGATGTTGAGCGTGCCCTATTTTTGTGGGTGAAGCATATGGAGGCTAAGCGCGAGACTGTCACAGGCGCCATGCTTGTCGCAAAGCGCGGAAAATACAAAAAGGAATTCAATGTCCCAGAGGATGAGAGGCTGAGTGGTGATGGATGGGTCCCAGGTTTCAAGAAAGCTCACAACATCAAGGAATATCGAAGGCATGGAGAGGCTGGTTCCGTGGATCTGGAGGCAGTTGCACGCGAGCGCGAGCGCATGCAGGCCATCTTAGGCAAGTTCGCTCCGAGGGACAGATTTAATTTTGACGAGACAAGCTTCTTTGCTTTGTGAGTCCTTGCAGATCATCGTCGATTCTCAGACAACTGACATTCTCTGGACCCCGGTCAGCGCATCACCTGATCGCGGTCTCGCAACAGAAGCCATGAGCGGAAAGAAGAAGGACAAGTTTCGAATCACCATAGGCGTCGCATGCAACGCCGATGGAAGCGAGAAACTTCCCCTCCTGTTCATTGGGAGGTACGCAAAGCCTCGTTGCTTTGGATCGCATCCGCCTCGCGAACATGGCTTTGACTATCACCACAACCGAAATGCCTGGATGACCATGGTCATCTTCGACGAGTAAGTTTATCAAAGTCTATTCGAAGTGTTGAATATTAATTTACTTTTGAAGGTGGCTACGGAAACTTGACATAAAGTTTGGGAAGGAGAAGCGTCGAATCTGTCTTACAGTTGATAATTTCTCGGCTCATTACATTGACTACGAACCCCGTAACATCCGTTTGGAGTTCTTTGAGCCAAACCTGACGTCGTATGTCCAGCCATGCGATGCAGGAATCATCCGTACCATCAAGGCTTTGTACCGAAAGGCATTCTGCCTGAGAGCGGTGGAGCTGGATGAAGCAGACGAGCCCGACATCTACAAAATCAACCTCCTCGAGGCCATGTTGATGGTCCAGCAGGCATGGGATGCTGTGGATGCAAAGACGATAAGCAACTGTTGGAGGCATGCCAAAATCCAGCCCACAGACGCACTGACAACTGCTGTCGTGCAAGCAAACCCAGCTGCTGTCACTGCCAGCATTCCGGCGACGAAGGACATGGCGGCGTGGGATGTGGTGCTCCTCTTTGCAACATCTGACGAAATGAGGCTGCCGCAGGCGGAGGAGAAGCTTCGTGATGTGCTGGGGGTTCGATATGTCGAAGAGGAGTGGCAGCCTGTCCTGAAGGTGGTCATGGATGCAGAGAACAATCAACAGAAGGCCGTGAAGGGGATTGATCAGGTTTCGCAGACACACCTTGGCTTTGAAATCTCGAAACACCGCCCTGACAACATCGGTTCCAGCTCCACTCCCACTAAAGGTCGTCCACCTCTTCCCCAACTCCAATCCGCAGAAGAAGACTTGATGAAAGTCGTTCAAGATTTGAAGGCACGAAGGAGGATCATTGGGGCTCCTCTCACGTTGGAGGAGATGCTGAACCCGGTTGGCGGTGACGAGATCGGAGAAAGGGAGTTTCATTTTGAGGATGATGATGAGATCGTGGCCAGGGTTCGTCATGAACAAGCTGTGGCTAGAGGAGAGGTCATTGAGCTGGATTCCGAAGATGAAGAGGATGACGATCACCCTCGACTGTCAACCCGCGAGATCATGGACCTTTGCACCCAGCTTGAGCGCGCATGCATCAGTGAGAACGATCCGGAGACCTCTCTTGACTTTCTCCATGGGCTTAGACGCTTCAGAATACATCTTAGGAGGCGGGAGGCAATGGGAGCGAAGCAGACAACACTGACCAACTGGTTCAAGCCGAACTGATGTCACGCGCACAGCCAAAGTCACAGTAGTCACATTAGTCACACATTGTCGTTCTGCATAAATCTAATAATGCATCACTTTTACCCCAGAACCGACGTTATGCAATATGAGAACATGTACTGTAGATCCCATGTGATGGGAATTAGAACAGGAGAATACCCCACATGAGCTCACCTTTAAGGAAAGACGCCAAAAGGTGGTGCTGATCTCACTTGGACTCTGCCAACCTCCGCTGATGACCGAGCTTCCATGACAGGGTGAGATTAAAGCAGCTGAAATATCCGGCAACTATCAGGGACCGGAAGCGCTATGTCAGTGTAAGGTAAACGGCTGTAGCTGTCGAACCCGATCCCCAGGACATTCAGGAAATATCGCTGGCAACGACTCGAGGGAGGAAGATTTTAGCTCCTCTTCGTGCCGGGAGGCAGTAGTCAAACGATTGGAGTTTTTTCAATAAATTCCTGAGGAAGAATAAGAATGAATGGCCCAGACATCGATCGAGGTTCGCAAGAGTTCGCAAACAAGCTTGCTTCGGTGTGCAAGAGCCGTGAGACAAATCGGATCCAGCCGGGCCGTCTCACTAGCAACAAGAAATCAGTCCCAGCTGGGCCCTGTTCCTCTACCGTGACTGCAGTGAGAGAGAAGGGGACACAGTCATAGTTTCCTACTTTCTGAGCGAGTGGTTCCCACTTTCCTAGTGAGTGGTCGTACAACCGCTGAGTGGTAATACAACCTCATAAATTAGGCGAATCTATAATTCTATAATATTAAACAGAAGTGGTTCTCACGCTCCAGCAAAATGAGCCTTCTGATTGGCTGAGACAAACAAGCAAATTCTGCAATCTGATTGGTTCCTCGAATGCTTCACCCAGCTCAGTCCGCTTCGCGCATGTCCTACTGTAGATTTCTCCACTTTCAGGACAACGAAGGGGAAAGACACAGTATACCTCTACCTCCGTAAAAAGCTGGCCTTGGAATTCTGGACTCGGAGGTGCCCACTCCGAAAGTTGCCACAACTAGGATTATGCATCGATGAAAGCGGTTCAAGTGCGCTTGCCAGCTTAGTCTTTCGGGTACTTATACTTATTCAATGGATCTCGGCAGGGGAGCCCCGCACTGCGTTGTTCTATCACATCCAGCAGGCTCGGCGACTATTCATGAGGTACGCGCTACGTCGTCGTCCGTTCTGCTTCCTGCAGCTGACCCATGCAAGCCAGATCCAAGGATGCTCTCACTACCCCTCAAGCCGACAGCAGCAAACACTGGGCCTGCAGGCTCTGTGAAGGCTCGCTCAAAATGCCAATCAGCACACTCGCCTCCACTCCTGCTTAACCAGAAACTCCACACGTGCTGAAATGCGGTTGTTCAGTTCGGTTCAACTTCGAGTCGCGACTGCTCAGGAAAGCGAGCTTCTTACCTCACCAAGACACTGACAATGCCAGAACAAGGGAGGTGAAAATTGAGCCCCGCATACTGCCAACTTGACATAGGTTCCTAGCGAGTCGCTGTATGACAGTGAGTCGTTTCTTATGTAGGCCGTATCCTGGTGTATCCTGAAGTTATGGATGATTAGACGTGCCCTCAGCGCAGAAAATTGCCGGTATTTTTCTCGACAGAGGCGCAGAGCTTGCGAATGCAGGCGCCTGACAGAGTACAGTACTCCCCTCCAACCATCTGTCCACCATTCAGCACCATTCCTACTGTTACGACCAGATTGCCTACTCCCCATGTGGCGATCCGTATCGGTAGCCCGGTAACATTTCCTTCATGGTGCATCTAACAGTAGTGCCTCCCAGTGAGACAAACATAAACACTCTGCGACGCCAGGCCTATCGTCTCAGTCATGACCATGCCACTCCCTACAGCTTCAGCTCTTCCAACCCCTCCACCTATGCAACGACCAGCGCCTCGCACTCGGACTATATACGGATACTACAGCTCACGAGTCACAGCTGCAAATTGCAGACCATATATTTCAGGAGTCTCTGATAGGCGAAATCAGCAAGCGTCAGAGCTGGAAGAGTCCTCGACAGGCACGATGCGCTTGGATGTTCAGGTAATAATTAGGATATTCTTTCATCCTTATATCTTTAATAGCATATCTTCATGGATGTGATAATGAGATCATGGAGTCCCAGGGTGAAAGCTTTTTCGAGTATGCCCACAAAGAAGCACAACAAAACAGAGGTGATCGGCCAAATCCTTTTTCTTGATATTTGTTGGCTAACTTTGCAATCCGAAAAAGTTGCCTACGGCAATAACATTTGGCCTGAGGGGGATCCCAAGGGTCAAAGTACATGTACATTACTAGAGGCTATTGTCTCGCCATTCAAAATCTCATTTCGCCTATTAAGCTGTTCAGACGTGCGGGGCATGACACAATCGTAACACAGCGTCGAAGGGCATAACGAGGATCTCTTTGAGGTAGCATGTAGGCCATATATCGAACCTCTCAGCAGCATGACCTCGGACAATTCATCTTAGTTTTTCGACAAGAGCTGAATAGGTCTGTTAATAAACTTGAAGGACCATTTAAGAGGATCCACAAGCGTATTTACAATGTAAGAGCCCTTAAATGAATCTTGGTTTGGTGAAATAGACATTCTGGCAAGACAATTCGTGCGGAGCACGGGTATCGGCTAGTACATAACAAGGCGTAAGTATACCAAAGCATCAATTTCAGCCCCAAACGTAGATCTAGAATCGACAGTCCATCAGTGCTTTCTCCCCTTCGCCTTCACCGGATGCTGCAATTTATTCTCCTTCTTTCGTGGAATGACTGGTGCCTTCTTGACCTTGTCTCCAATTAGAGTGCCAGCTGCTGGTAATTTGACGCTGCTTGCATGAGGGACGGCCGTACGACTCTCAGGACGCTTCGATGTTGGAGCAAGTCGCTTCCCTCTTTCCTGCCTATTTCGGTGCTTCGTATTCATGCTGTGATGCGGGATAGAAGGATGCAAGATCTTTCCCCTTTGATTCCGTTGGATTCTGGCACTCCCGGAGCTCGCTGCTTTAACCTGCCGTCCCTTTCTGTCCTGCATTCGCTCTCCTTTACGGTCCTTAGGTTTCGGCGTCGAGCATGTCGGGCGATCTCCTGCCTGCCCTTTCCGCATTCTAGTCGCAGATTTCAAGGTGACATGCTTCTCCGGCATTTTATCCGTCCGGCTGCCCTGATATGGGACGGTGGAATGCAAGACCGGACGCCCTCGGTACCGCTGAACACTGGCATTTACCTGGCTCGTTTTACCACCTTGTCGTCCTTTTCCCCTCAAGGCCTGGTCCCTTTCCTTGCTCTTATAGTTGTGCGTATAACTCATTGCGCGATCCTTCGTTTTCCCTACGGCTTGCGGCCCAATCGCAGATTTCAAGGCGCTTGGTCTCTTCTTTCGACTACCCTGCACATGCTCGTCCGCTTTCCGCGCTGCACGAGCGGTCTTCGGCCTTGTTTCTGGCTTCATTTGTCGAGGCATACCTGGAGATGGGGTTCTTAGACCCTTAGGAGAGGCCAACGACGAAACTTTCTTCCTATTGCCCAAGATTTTTCGTGCAGCTGCTGAACTAGGACCACGCTGGGGCTGAGCCTTGACGGAAGGAACAGCCTTGGAATTTGCTGTTTGACGGACTAAAGACTTTCCCCGCCGAGATGACAACAATTTTGACGCGTGTGGAGAGAGAAGTCCATGGATGCGAGATGAGGGCAGCGCGTAGGACTTTCGTTGACTCGAACTAGACATGGGAAGTGCACTAGGGGGATGCTTGGGTTTTTGCGGTTCGGAACTGGAAAACGACGACCCCAATCTCGAAGTCCTGCGTCCCGACCTTGTCAATGATTTTACATTGCCAAGAGCGCCTTTTCGGCTCGCGCTGCTCGACTGTTTGCGGGTACCAAGAGAATTAATGTGTTTAGCTGATGAAGTCGTCGCCCCGCGTTTGCGTGATGCTGTGGCTATAATCTGGTGTTTTTGAGCAGCGGAAAGGATCGGCTTCTGTGTCGGATATTTCTGTCCGGCCAACCGTTCGCGACCAACCTGAATTCGCGCCTGTGTCCCATATTTTGCCTTGCGTTCTGCAGCTATACCTTCTCGGTGTGGTCCAAGCGATAAGTGGGATATTCTGCGGTCTTGACCTGCACTTCGAGCCGCACCCTGGCGTAGTGCATCGCCGGGGGTATGGCGTAGCGCTGGCGCTTTATCGTGCCATATTTCTGGGCCCGTTCCACGTTGCTGACTTTCCACTGCCTGCCCAGATCTATCGGTACTGCGATTCCTCTGCCGTGAATTCCGGTTGATACTACTTTGTGCTGATGGGCCGGTGGACGGACGCCTGTCCCTGCCGTCGCGATGACTGCTCGGTCCTGGTTGGCTGGTGTATGGGTAGTGTTGATTATATGTATCTTCAGGCGGTAAATCAATGTATCCTTGCGGCATCAGCGGGGGTGGCTGCTCTCCACGATATGGGGTCAGAGGCCGTGGCTCCGGCATCGTCACCCTCCGTTTGTGCGAACGTTTTGGGGGCCGGTCTGGTGCATTGTACCCGTCGGGCGGGATAACCGGATTCGCGATCAAAGCCGGATGAAATCCGGGATGTGGGTTCACGGGCGGCGGATACGCCCCTGGTGGTGGGCCGTAATAAATATTGGCAGGAGCGGCGTTAGGAACGGTAGGAAGCCCTGGTCTTATGACAGGGAATGCAACAGGTTGGTGGGCAGGAATCCCTGGAACCCCTGGCGGGATATAATTGGCTGGTGGTCGCCCGTAGGAGGGATCGTAAGGAAGATTAAAACCTCCTGGCTGGGGACGCAGTCTCGATGGGCCTGCAACACTAGAACCGGGTTGATAGCTTGGTGGGTAAAACTGCTGAGGCAGGTTGTTGGGTGCGAAATTGGGCTCTGGCATTCGTATCCTTGGTGGGGATTCCGGAGGCCAGTGAGGTGCGTGGGGGGTGGCATACATTGAGTGTCCTCCTGCTGGAATATGTGCCGGTTGGACAACATCAGTTTTATAGCTGCCTGCTTTGACCCACTGTTCTGCCTCGTGTGTGAGCTTCGTCAGACTTTTATTCGCGACAGAATGCGTCAGAAGTCTGTATGAGTCCGCACAAAGGTGCATCGCCCCAGGAGGCGCGTTATCTTTGACGTAGTCGAAGGAATTCATCATATGGTCTGTGAGTACAAAAGTTCGAGCATTAGCGGCTTCTCCTCGATAGTTTTGAATCACACGGTTGTGACTCACAGGCAGGAAAATACCGTTTTCCCTTCTGCATTTGACCTTTGGTTGTTGGGGTAAATTTTCCGTCTGCCGAAAAATCGTCCACAGTACCCAAGAAAATGTGGCTGGCTTCATGCACGATAGATCCTGCCATGTCGTTCAAGTCCTTTTGTTCATAGAATGGTTTGTATACTGTTTGGACTCCTTCTCCGATAGTACTAGATGCTGAAGCCTTATCGGCGCCCGGTGTGGTATCGTATATACTCCCGAGTACACGAATATGCTTTTGGGACAACATCGTTTTGACGTTTCGATGAACTTCCTCTTTGTCAACGTATGGTCCGAACGCGTTTTCCAGGTGTGGCCTCCAGACGTGCTCAGGCTCATGGGTAAGCATACGATCCACTTCTTTCAGCTGTTGTTTTGCTCAAAGTCGAGGTAATTAATTTAAGGTGTAAAGATTGAAACGTCGACAACGCACCTAGCTTTGTAGCCTTAATCAGTGTTTCTCTCTGACCCTTCATGGCTCTACTTCTAGCTTCTGGGCCCTCGAACTTGAGTTGAAACTTCTTGGCCTCAACGACTGATCAAATAATTAGCCAGAATATGTTTATGACACGATGAATTACCCACTGGTGAATAAAGTAGTGCCATAGACAAATAATACGGTAGCAATAATGAGGAGTTTCATCAAGTGAATTGGGGAGAAAGATAATGACGATTGGATGCTGAAGATTACAGAATTATATTAGTATTATCTGGCGCCCACTGCGCTTCATTCTCTTCTGCTTCAGGGCGGTGAAACGTGAACATATCGCGCCGTTGTCTGATTCTAATCCACAATGTGTGGACGAAAAAATCTTGCTTCGTTGTGGATCTAAATAAATTGATTTTGTTCGACCAAGATATATCCACTCGTTCCCACGTGTGCATGAAACCTTGGTCCCTCGAAGGTAGGCTAGGTTATGTGGAATTCGTGATGGGACGCATTGGCTAAAAGGGGAATTCCTGAACCTCAAGGCCCCAACTCGAACTTTCCGGAGCACCGCTGGAGTCGAGCAATTAATTGTGGCTGACGATTTGAACCCGCGTGGCTTTGTTTTAACAAATGGGCTAAATGTGACGAATACAGATGAAACAGAAATTAACCTGTGGTCACCCTATATATATATCGACAGTGCTAAAAAGTTGGACGTTGACGTGAGGGAGGTTTCCGAGCTGAAGGCGCCTGTTCTCCAGAATATTTTCCAGAATTGCAGACGCAAATTCCTTGGCCCCGCGTCGCCGACTGGCCACATAATACAAGGAAACTGTCAAATTGAAAGGTTTCTGGAACCATATTCTGCTGATTTCGTCGTCAAAACTTGCCCACTCCGCTGTATCCCATTCTCTTGCATCTTCGCCCCCGCCGGACATCGCAATTTGCAAATTTTGGAGTCCGTTCTTGGAGGGGATTGTTCGTAGGATGCTTACGATGCCGTCAAGTAAACCGTTTGCCATTGAACGAGCCGTGAGAGGGAGCTTTAGAGTCACGGTCGTGAGAAATGGGAGCCGAGCGAAAGAGAGTGCCCCAACGTATGAGAAGTCGGCTTGAAAAAAAAATCGTTCAGCCTTCCCTCGGCGTTGGGTTTAGATGGGCATCCTCACCTGCAAAGTGGCTTCTAACAAGATGGACTTCTTTGAGCGAACAACCTGCGACTTGCATAAGTTCCCGGGCGGCAGGTATGTCGTTTGCCTTGTCTATGTAGATCTTCATGGACTGCAGCGCTGAGAGATCAATCTGGGGATCCTGTGACGACGGCTTGCCAATTGCTACCAGGTTCCTCAAGCAATCGGCGCCATATGAACATTCCACTGTCTGAAGCTTCCAGGCACCTTCGAAACGAAGGAATGGCGGTGAAAACGGTGCTGTGGTTTCCAACGCCTTGACTCCCTCGAGCTTCAGGTGCTTCAACCGTATGAGGGATTTCAATATGTCTAAAGGGAATTTCGACATCCAGGAGAGATGCAGCGAGGAAATTGAGGAGGAAATGTAAGGCCGGAAGAAACGAGCAGCCGCCTTGTCCGGATTCTTGATGTAGCCATCGACATAACCATATATCGTCAACTTTTTCAGTCGTCGGCCGTTGTCCGTGATGAGGGGTAAAACGCGAAGAAAATGCTGATCCTTGTGAATCCACGCGTTATCTTTCTTGGGCAGCGTGAGATGAAGGGAATGGATATGGTCTGCAAGGTGCGGGTTCCGTGCTAGTAGTTTTGCGAGGACCTTGTTACGGTGAGAGCGATTCTGTTTGTCACCATCCTTCTTCCCCAGCCTTATCTCCGCGAAAATATGCGATTGAGATCGGTGTAGGAAGGCGCTGCATATGAGTGGGTAGGAATAGAGGTGGTGCATGGCTAGCGTGACCGTCCACGGCTCTCGGCTTACGTCCTCGTATATTATGTCCACAATGGCGTTGATTAGCTCTTGCGAGAGCTCGCAGATGGGTCCTAGAGACATGCTTGATGCCGCTTCTTTCATGGGAGGGGAAGGCTAGACGTTGATGTAAGTCGCAGAGAAACCAAAATGCTGCGCCCTTTGCCAATCCGTTTGCTTTGGTTTGTGTGTGGACCCTCAGGACGCCGGGCTCAAACTTGTTTTGAACAGGTTCTATCCTGTCTATCTCAACATGAGATCTCATCGCCGACATCAGATGTAAACCCACAACGAATTTGATCACACTGCCAGTCTTCGGGGATCGCGGTTTGGTCTTAGTTGAGGAATTCATCGTCTACTTTCGGAGGCACCTTTATGGGTGAACGGATTGGCGATTGTGGATTGAGATCCGCAGCAAACATGACGGGGTTCGGGCAATGAATGCCAAATAAGAAGATAAGGAGCATGGGGATGAAGGTTGTCAGAATATTACAGGTGGCGCTGGAATTTAGTGCGGAGGTTCACTGTGATGGGATGATCAGGGATGAGAGTCTCTCCTTTACGAACTCCTCGCAGATCGCACGATATCTCCCCTGCGCGACCTTTCAGCGATCGATGAGCCACCGTCTTCCGGGTCCGACGAGCTTTCCGAATAGCTCTCGATGTCTGTTTCTTCTTCCGAATCACTGAGGTCCACGAAGCGTGACAAATCGCTGGAAGGTGAGCAGTACTTCATGTAGAGGTCGAAGCGAAGAGGCTTTCCCACCGAGAGTCGCCTGAGTTGGTCGCAAAGCGTGTCCCAGTTCGCCTCGAAGGATGCCTGGGGTTTAACACGGTCGATGAAACCTGTCTCAACGTTGAGTTGGAAGGTCCTGATAGATTTTTCCTTCGAGATCTTCGTCTAGTTTCTGGATGACGGGATGATTCAGTTTCATTCGCGCGGTGAGACGGCCAGGGCATACTTCCAGCTTGAAAGAGGATATGCAGCTCCTCCAGTGTCTGTTGGGCGGCGTGCAGGAGACCGGTAGCTGTCAACAATGCCAGAGATGCGGGACCAGGATGCAATGTCAAGGAGCGAAGGTGCTAGACCTCGAGTGGGTGATCGTCAACGAGGAATAGCCCAGGCATCGCAGAGTCGCCGCCGCCGTATCTGAGGCTCCCGTTCGTGCGATATTATAGCCAAGATGTCGATAATTTCGTCGATGAGCTCTCAAGAAAGATGAAGAATGCATTCCAGGTAGGAGTAGTAGGATCCTGCTAGTTCCGATGGTGGTCGAAATGAGGGGCTTCCTTCCTTATTTGAATAAAGGACAAACAACACCAACGCGCGTGACGTTCTGTTCCCGAAACTTTTCTTCCAAATTCCTCCTGCTTCCCTCACCACCTTCATTCTTTTCCTTGACGTCCATCCTCCAAAATGTCTGCTATTGCTGCTCTTAGGACCGCAAGTCGCGTCGGACCTGCTCGCCTTGTTGCGGGAATGCGGGTTTCACTCGCTTCTTCCGTGACGAGACCAGCAATGAGGCTTGGTGCACTGAACCTCGCGAGACCTGCTGGCCTGCGAGCGTTCTCTGCCACCTCTGGACGATTTGGGAGTGGAACGAGTGCGTTATTTTCTCGCGTCGGTCCGTGTTCCTTGTGCCAAAGCAACTGACTTGCTCTTCCTTCGAATTGAAACAGCCGACATTTCCTTGTCACAAAAGCTGCAGGAGGAGCTCAAGTACGAGCAGGAGGCCATTGCTGAAACTCCCGAAACACCCGAGTTTCTGAAGGCCTTTCTGGAGCAGGGTGTTTGGTCGGTGCGTAACTGTCGCGTCGATGACGACCTTTTCCGACTCACGTTGACCATGTAGATTGAGGACACAAGAGGGAACGATGAGGTTGCCTTGACCCGCAAATTCGGTGATGAGAAGTGAGAGCCCCAACAGTCTTTCGTCTCATGCCATGCACTGACCTTCCCTTCACCACTCAGCATCCGCATCATGTTCTCAATTGCCGACATTCAAGTCGAGGATGAGTTTGAGGGCGACAGCGCTGAGGCCGAGGCCGAGGCTGAGGGTGAAAATGACCTCAACATCTACCCTATTCGCGCTTCTCTTTCTATCACAAAGGTAAACTCTCGTTTTATGCTTCGTATTTTCTCGGCTAACCATTATTGCAGTCGACCGGTCCAGGCGCTCTAAATGTCGATATGACCTGCCAAGATGGTCACTTTGCGATCGAGAACATCTCGTTCTACGAAGACACGAAGCTTGGCACTGAACTCACTGCCGAGGCTGATTGGAAGCGTCGGGGACTGTATATTGGTCCTCAGGTGAGTTCGTCTTGTCTTTGTAGTTCTCCCGCTCACTGTTGTGAACCTGTAGTTCGACACCCTCGACATCGGCGTCCAGGATGAGTTCGAGAAGTACCTCCAGGAGCGTGGTGTGAACGAGTCGGTCGCGGCATTCATTCCTGAGTACGCAACATATAAGGAGCAACAAGTGCGTCCTTTGTCTGGTTCTTGCATCGCTTTCTCTTACTCACGATACCGCAGGAATACGTCAAATGGTTGGGCAAAGTTAAGAACTTCATCGACCTTTAAGCCGTCCCAAAACCGCCTTCGGCAGAAGCGTGCTTCTGACTTCCTTCATGGTACACACACTACCTCTGGCTATGCTTATGCTCTCTCGTAGATCTAATCCCTCCTGTCGCCCCACTCATATAATTATCTAATGCAATACATGTCCTATGATGCACCTTCGTTTTGGCAAGGCGATCCGTCCCGAATGCCCTTCAGTTTTTCTTGATCACCCTCGCACTGCTACAGCCGTTCGCTGAACATTTCTAGAGAACGTTGTGTCCTGGAAATCGAGAGTGTACTCGACAACGGATATCGGAGTCCGCCATCGGGAGACCAAGGAGTGTACGGTACGCTTCAGTTGCAAATGGCAGATCCTTCACACTACGCCTCCAATGCTCCTGCTGAATTCATTATGCTTTCAGATATTCCAACCGCCCTCGATGAACAAAATGTGCATAGTGAAATCGAAGACTACAAACACCTCCAACTCGAGCCAAAGGCGACGTCAATGGGAAGGATGATAAGCCCTACAGGCAAGCCAACGGTGTCGTTCTGCTCAGTGCTGACGTCTAACCGTATTCAATGCTTTCTTCCGGGTTTAGTCAGAGGCGCAGCCTTCTTGGCGATGCCCTTCTCAACCAGCCTGGTATGCGCGGGAGGCCTCGCGCTTTTCGTTTTCTTCGCGGGAGGTTGACTAGTGTGCTTCGTGTATGTTCCACGCGCAGAGGACTTTTGCCCACGAACAACCCGACTACTGGTTGCTTGAATCGCGAGACCCGGTCTCCCGGTCTGGGTGGACGTCGACTTCGCGCCAGCCTGCCTGCCGAGGCGACTGTGGTTGGAGAGACTTGGCTTCTTTGGCACTACAGAAGATGCCATTCCCCCCTTTGGTACAACGGAGGGCGCCTTTTTCCCTCGCGGCACGACTGTTGCCTTCCTACGCTCTGGCGGTACGGTTGTTTTCCCCCTTCCCTTTGCGGCTGTCGACGAAGCCCTGTTCTGACGGCCTATGGAGGCGCTGGGTGCTCTGAGAGCCGAGCCGACGGGCACTCGCGTCATCGTTCGAGTAGGGCCCCGAATGGACTTTCCTGGAGTACCAGGAGCATTAGGGTGTACGGTCTGACCTTGATGAGTCGGTGGGCGAGTTGAAGATCGGCCGTTCCGAGCTCCCTTTCTCTCGATGACAATGGGCACCCGCGAACCAGGCTTTGAATTTGATACACGAGGCCTGCGGAGGGACTTCACTTTTGGAGGCACGCCGGAAGGCTTCATCGACGCGATCGATGTCCTAGGCCTAGTGGACTTTCTCGCGGTTCTACCGAAATCTTTCGCCAATCTCTCTTTGCCTTCACGAAGTTCAGAGGATGATGCACCTTTCGAAGCAAGGGAGACCTTCCTCTTTTTCGACTGATGTTCCGATTTGTGCGTGCGTGCCTTGGAAAATGCATGGGCAGCATCGGTCCGTTCCCCCTTCTGTGCATGCGCTGAACGGGATGACGAGAGTGAGGCGCCAAGGAGTGCCGGTGATCCTTTGTTCCTCGATAATGAACTAGGAGGGACTGCGTGCAACTTGTGATCCCCTGTTCCCGACACGACCGCGGCGGGGTGATGGGTATGGGATGTCCTGCTGTTGCCAGCGTGTACCTCAGCCGTAGTTTCGGGAGAGGCACGCTGAGGATGGTTCGAAGGGGATGCAACGGCTTGTGCAGGTGGTTGCTCATAGGCGGGGTAGTGTTTATGCCTGTATTTGAATGTTGGAACAGTCTTACGGATCTTGCACAATGCAGCGACGGTTCCGTCAGGAACCTCCTTGTTGTGGCACTCAAGCTCTTTCTTCAGCTGCCTGGTCGTCTTCCCTCGCATTTCCACCGTCAGTCCCTTGAGATGATGTGTCTTTCCGGCTGCATCCACGACTACCTGCTCGTTGTCTGTATGATCGTGGTAGGTCTTAGGAGCATTTGGATTGCGGGTGGGTGCACGGTCGTGTTGGCAATGCGTGCATGTGTCCTGCGTCTTGTTCCATTTGCGGGCTGACTTGGGATCTGGCTCTATCGGCACGTTCCATCCGAAGGAGACGGTGTGAGCAAGGAGCCTGTGCGAATCGGCGTTCAAGTGCATTTTATGGGGGATGAGTCGCTTTGCTTCCTCGAAGTCTTTTGGATTCGATATATCTAGTCCCAAAATGTCAGTCAGGAGGTTTCGTGCATAATTACACCTCTCGCAACGGAAGGCTCACAAGGGTTTAAATCCTCCGTCTCTGACTTTTGTGCGTGATGGCCTTTGATTTCAGCATTCTTCTTGTTAAACCAGTCGAATGAACCAACGGTATGAGATGCCTCATGGATAAGGATTCCAGGCAGGAACTCCGGTGTATTATTGGGATCATGAAAATCATGCTGCAATCGCACAGTTTTCTCGTCGAGATTAATCTGGGCGATGGCTTTCTGGTGCTCCATCGTGGACTTGTGCGCATGAATGTTCCCTATGTGCAGCTTCTGGTCTCTCAAGCCTTCGAAGGTCTTTCTGATTGCTTCGACATTGACTTTTGTTGGATCGCCATAAGCATTTCGGATATGCTTATCGTAGTCGTTATACAAGTGGCGGTTCGCTGGATCTAAAAAGTGGAGTACATTCTCGATCTGCCACTGAGCTGTATTCATAACCGTTTTAACAGTAGAAGTGTTTCGGGAATGTGACTAGACATACCGGATGCTGCGGCCTGGTCGATGCGGTTCAGATTTTCTTCATAGTGAGGATCTTTCACCCGGTTGTCTGTGATACCGAACTCAATCGGTGCTGCCTGAACATGTATTATATCTATTCCCCTTATGAATGAGCGCTTTAGCGAAAGTTTGTTGACGAAATTATCCCATACATCCAAATGGCCAGAGGAGGAAAATGGCAAAGAACGAGAGCGCAGACAGTTTGTTCATGATGGCAATCGAGAATGTCCTGGGACTTTCAATAGTGGTGAAATCAAGTATCTTTAAATTTTGCAGGTGAGCGCGGAACATCGAGAACAGGCTTCAGCGAACTGACCTCTCGCAAGGGCAAACGGCCAGCGTTGTCCTACAGAAGACGTTATCCGAGACTTTTGCCAGAATATATATTGCGCTTCATCATCTTGTGGGTCCGACGCTGGCTGTTACGTGGGTACGGTACTATCAGTGCTGACGAGTGGCTAGCGGTACGGACGCGGGCGCAACAGTGGGCGCGGATTTGACATTTAGTGACACACTATGATGTGAACAAGAATCCTCTTTTAGATCTCGGATCAATCAGCGGCCATCAATCAGGAAGCGCCCACAAGTCCAAACCGCCGTAGAAACGCCCTCATGCCACTCGTTCCTCTCAATGCAACACTTTCAAATCACCCCAAGTGATCTCCAGGGCACCCATGCTTCCCCCTTCTATCGACTCCCACAAGACCTCATTGACGATATCGTGGATCATCTTGCCATAGGTGTCGAGAATGAAAGTCTCCATGCGAACGGTGACATCCATCAGTGCTCCAAAGTGTGTTCGTATTTCCGACATCGTTGTCAGATGTATCTCTTCAGGTGCATTGTGTTGACGTCGATGGTGTGGGGCTCGGACTCCATGATGAAACTCACAACTAGGTTGGAAGAACTCTTTCATCTGTCCCAAGTAAATGAGCACCTCATCGACTACATCCACGAGATCCATCTTCAACTCGAACTCTCCAAATCTGTTTCATGGATCACAGAGGAAGGCCCATTTCAAGAAATTATGGCGATGAAAGCAGCCTCTCGGACCACGCTGCGCAAGCTAACCATAGAAGGGACGCGATATGGCATGCACTACTTCGAAAATGGCTTCGTATCAAAATTCATACGCCCATTTATATCGCCCTTCATCGTCTGCCTGCACCTTAAATCCATCCCCACCGCTCCACTTGACGCAATTGCCGGTTGTGTTCAGCTGCAAGAGCTCGTATTAGACTTCGTTGATATATTCTACGTCTCCTTCATTCCCAACTCGACACTCCCGCTCCCTCGCATCAAGAAACTGGGATACAGATTTAGCGCCCCCGCCATTGAACTATTAGCCAAAGGGACCTCTCAAGGTCACAAGATCCTCGATCTGTCGTCTCTGCAAACCTTGATCGTGAACACGAACGCCCGGGGTGATATCGCTGTGGCCCAGGAGGTCATAAATCAGGCGGGCGATTCTCTTGAAGAACTGTACATCGGTCCTCGTCGCCAGGAAATCTCAAGTGAGCTAGCCCTCGTTTCTCGGCCAGCCTGCATTATCACTGACCAAGCTCTAAACTAAACTAGAGGAGGCAAATTCGATAGCAAGCCTCAATCTTCGCACTTGCACTCGATTGACTGCCATAAAAATCAATTTAAAAAGTGAAGGTCCCGAGTTCGAAGACGACATACTTCTGGGTGTCATAAGCACACTTAAATCTCTTCCTGCGGTCTGCGTTCTCGAGGCCCTGTCAATGCAGATCAGGATAGGCGATAGAGAGGGCGATGGCCCCTCACGCTGCTATGGAATGAGTTGGGATCAGCTCGGCCAAGAAGTTAACAGGATCTCTCAGGGCAAGAAGCTAAATTTCTCACTTCTTATCAGATACACGGAGCCGTTATACGAGGACTATGACTCTGACGACGATGACCAGTGGGATGAAACTAGTGTTGCCGTTCATACGATTCCTGACCTCGCCGATAAGAGAAAGTACCTGACGGATTACCTCGCTTCCTTCGTCGACAGAATATGCACTGAGAAACTTTGCCTACAGCCTAATGTAGTCACTAATGTAGAGTCCAAAGTAGCGCGGCGGTCCCGAGCATTTGCTTAGAATAACTGGCAATCGACTGCAACTGGGGACCTCAGTATTAGCAGATGCATTTGAATTTTGAGCAGGCTGGTTATGCAAGTAATTTTCTGCAGACTCGGAGCGAGGCTGAATTATGCTACAGATCAGCTAGTTGTAGGCTGGCTTCGAGTCTACAGATGAGCCTTCCAATAAGGAATAGCTATAGATGCGGAAGATTCTTGGTCGCCGGACCGTCACCACCTTAAAGTATTCACTGCTATAGATAGGCTGCTGCAGTCCGCTGTGTCGTACCGGTCTTTTCTTTTCTTCAATCTCTTTGCATCAGTAAGACCCCTATTTGGACCAATATGGGGCCCGTCGGGGCTTCAACTTTGAGAAGCTCCGACGCAAATTTCCCAGACTCGGCAGTGCAAAAAAATATTGAACGAGTCAGACTCTTGTATCATCACCACGACGTCGCCCCTTTCTCTGACATCAACGCACAGAAACATTCAGAATGGACGTCGATATGAAGAACAAGGACGACGGTGACGACAAGGGGATCGTGCCCCCCACAAATGGCGGGGGAAGGGACAGGGATTATGACCGTGACAAGGACAGGGATCCTCGGGATCGCGACTATGACCGGGACCGGGACAGGCGGGACAGGGACAAGGAGAGAGACAGAGACCGCGACAGGCGCGACAATGGTGAGTCGCTGCTAGAGTGTTCAACATGCATGTCGTAACTTCATTTCCGAAGGGCGCCCAATAAGACCCAGAGTCGGCGACCACTGGGAGCCAGAAAGGCGCAGTGATGTATGTCGACCGTCTGCTCTTGTGTGAGTATGGTGTCTGACCGTTTGACAGCGTCGTAGGCACTCGCGTACTCGATCACGCTCGCGTTCGAGGAGGCGGTCGGCGTCTCCACGCAGACGTCGTCGTTCTCGTTCGCGTTCCCGCAGTCGGTCAAGGTCAAGGTCGCGGTCTCGCAGCCGAGACCGCAAGGCAGCAGACCCATTCGCCCGTTCACTCGGAGGACCCATGAACGCGGACCATGAGGAGGCGGTCGAATTCGCCAAGATCAGCAAGAGGGAAAACCGCGTCTATGTCGGCAACCTGAGTTACGACGTGAAATATCGTGACCTAATGGAATTCATGAGGGGAGGTGGGTGGGGGAACTTTAGTCTTTTTGCTATTTCTGGGGCCGGGGGAGTCGGAGGAGTGGGCGGTAGCTCTTTTTTCAACCAACTTCAGCAAGCCTCTCCGAAGATTTGGAGCTTCGGCGACTGGGGAGGATGAGCATGTGGGGAGGAGCGGATTTTTCTCAGTTTTTCTATTTGATGGAATTGGCAGAGTTGTCGAGAGGATATTGATGGGAGTTTTTGGTTGGCAGCTGGTGAGGTACTCTTCGCTGAAGTACTGGTGACTCCGACTGGGGTGTCCAAGGGATGCGGGTGAGCTTTTCTCTCTTTCTCGTACCATCATCTGCCCCTTCAACGTCCGTTCAGCATTGTCGAATTTGCTTCGCAAGAAGACTCCCAGCGCGCCATCCGTGAACTGTCCGAGCAGCCTCTGCTTGGACGTCCCGTCTTTATCCGTGAGGTATGAGCTTAATCCTCACGCCACGTCACTTTTCGTCATCGTCCCATCTAGGACCGTGAAAACGAAGCTCGTTTTGGTGCCACCCCTGTACCAGGAAAAATTGGAATGGCGATGGCTGGTCAAGGGCTCCATGCCGCACCACCTCCTCGCCCTCCTTCGCATAACTATTTTGGTGCGGCCCCCAACCCTGGAAACCAGCTCTATGTTGGAAATGTGAGATATCGTCTCTGTTCCTCCTCTCAGTCGACCTAACCGTCTATATCTCAGCTGCCATATCAAGCTGGCTGGCAAGACCTCAAGGATCTTTTCCGCACTGCTGGCAACATCATCCGCGCTGATATCAACATCGGTGCTGATGGACGGCCCAAGGGCTCTGGCACCGTTGTGTTTGAGACACCAAAAGACGCGCAGCAGGCCATCAGTAAGCCAACTTTCGTCTCGGCAGAATCTGTTCCTAATCTATCGACAGGCATGTACCACGGCTTCGATTGGTATGGTCGAACACTTGAAGTCCGAGAGGTACCTTTCAGAGAACCAAGTGTCTGAATACCTATGACTGACATTTTGTTGGCGCAGGATCGCTACGCCGGCCTCGCAGGTTCTGGTTTCAGAGGAGGCTTCCGAGGCGGTCCTCGTGGTCTAGGTCGAGGGCTCCGCGGCGGAGGTCTGCGAGGAGGCTTCCGAGGCGGCTTTGCACAGGCGGGTGGTGGCCGAGATTTCTCTAACCAGGAACTGTACGCCGACTATTCTGGTCCTGACCAACAGGGAGCTGCACCTGGAGGATATGGGGGCTACGGAGGAGGAGGAGGCGGAGGCTATGGCGGCGGCGGCGGCGGCGGATACGCTGAAGGCGAGCCCAGTCAGCAGATCATGGTTCGCAACGTATGTCTCTTTTTATTCGTTCTTTTCGCTTTCCGCAGCTTGACTAATTTCGTGATTGTAGTTGCCTTGGTCAACTGCCAACGAGGACCTTGTGGAGCTATTTGAGACGACTGGTCAAGTCGAGCTTGCGGAGATTCTTTTCGATGGCACCCGTTCGAAGGGATGTGGCGTCGTCCAATTTGCGCAAGTGGCCGAAGCTGAGACTGCCATTGGTACATGTTCATAATGGCGTCCTTTTGCCGACTCTCACTAATGACACCCTTTACATACAGCCAAGTTCCAGCAGTACATGTACGGAGGAAGACCATTGGGTATGCATCATCTCGAAGCTTACATAATATTTGTGTTGACCTTTTGCTTGCAGACGTCCGCTTCAATGACCGCTGGCATACGTTTACGCCTTCAGCTGCCAAAGGCGGTCAGATCGCACCTATGCAAGCCGACGCCATGTAATCCTACCCCTACGTTCTTGCCCCTTTTCAACTGCGGACGCTCAGCCAACAAGTCATTTTCTTTCTTGCCCTTTCCACGTTGCTCCGACCGGGGGCGACCTCTCCCTCTCTCTTGATATTCGATTCTAAAATGCCGCAGTTATTATCCTGCGGAGGTTTTTCTCCTTTCGATCTGGTCCTTTTGTTCCTCTGTCAAAATTGTATGTGAATACGGCCCTCAAGGGTTTATCAAGGTACCCAACGATATGTTCACTCTAGTTCAGAATACACATGATTTATGCACTGCTTGGTGGTTACCACTGCTTCTACTGCTAGGAACAATCAAGGGGCTCCTCTCTCCTGTCTGTTCAACGGTAACGAAAGCAGTCACGACCGACGAAGAGACCAAAAGGACGGCGCAAACACTGAGTACTACATGCCTCGCGGCCGAGACCCCCGTCAACAGCGAGACAACGACAAAAACGTTGAGTGGAACGCGGAAGAGCGATGACAACGTGGCACGGTGCTCGTTTGCTATAAGCATCCCGCGGAGGGTGCCTTGAACGGGATAGTACATGCCCACACAGGCTTCAAAGAGACAGAAGGAGAAAAATCGGAAATGAGAGGAGGGGGAGAGGATTGAGGATGAGAGGCCCAGAGCGGAGGTTAGGCAGATGATGCTGCTGAGTTTGGCATGCAGCCTGAGTGAAGATAGGTGCTTTTGGGGAGAAGCAGATGGCTTAATATTGCTAGTCTCGCTTGGAGGCGGCGTCGGCGAATTTCTATCTTTGACTTGCGACTGCCTTGAGCTTCCCCCTTCAGTACGGTTGGAGGTACCAGAAATAATGAAGGTGTAGAAAAGGGAACCGAGCATCATGGAGACCATGAACGAGGAAAATATAAGTCCGAGAGGTAGATTGCCAGGGATCTCGGACGATTCTTGTAGGAGGGGCACCCAGAGGAAGACGAAGAGGTACATCGATCCTTCAAAGCATGTCTGTGTCCATCCCAAAACAACCAGACGTACATCTAAGCCGAAACCTGGAATAAGAACAAGATACTGAAGGCAATATACCACTGACCCTTTCGTACAATCTTCCATGCCTGGCCTAGCCGCTTGACCTGGAACACATCACGCTCCGTGGTGCTTGCACGCACCGCGCCATAATTCTCTGTCCATGTCGCCCGAATGACAGCCCAGCCAACCATGAGCAGCATCCCGCTTGCCATGAACGGCGAGACGAAGTTACCACCGGTGACTTCCACCAATTGGTTGCTCACGACGCCTGCAGTTGCGGCCACGAAGCCATTAACAAGCGTCGCACGGCCCATTATCGTCGATAGGTCGGATACTGGAAGCGAGGCCGAGTTTGAAGCGGAGATGAGCCATGACTCGAAGGCAGAGAAGAGAATGGAGGTGGAGGCACCTCCGAGGAGTCGTCCAAAGAGGAGGACGGGTAGCGAGTGGATGGTCATAAGGGCGCAGGTTGTCGTGTAGGTGATGCAGAAGACGAGGCAGAGCTGGCGACGGCCGCTAAAGGGACAACAGTTTTAGAGACAATCCAAGGAAAAGATTCGTTTGAGATAACTCACTGTTGGTCGGCCAGCACACCTACGAGCGGAGCAAAGACTCCCGCAGATACGAATCCGGTGACGAAGAGTAGGGCGACGACTCGCTCTTCAAATCGATACTGCTCTCGATAGAGAGAAAAAAGGTAAGGGCCTTGTAGCCAGTCCGCCCCTACAAACAAACTATCAATAAGAATCAGCTCCAACCCAAGAAGTTGCGTACTGTGGAAGTGGATTTGAACACAGGAGGCTCACCCATAACGATCGCATATACAACCAGATATTTCTTCATCAGCACCGCTGATATGGACGATACCCCCGACTTCCTGCTTTCGGAGACCATATCGCTCGTTGATGCATTCATTACATGCCTGTTTTTCCTCTGAGCGACCAATCTGTCCGTGAACAAGGCAAGGCAGCAGATGAACAGGAGCAGGGCAAGCATTTGCTCATAGTACCCGAAAGCCATTCGTTCGGCACGAGGGAGGTCTTCGAGAGACAGGTGTCTCAATATGCGTTGTTATTTCAGCCAGCACGATGAATAGAAGGTATACTGGGGCCCGGAGGGAAGGTAAGGAATCGTGGAAGAGTTCGAAATTGGTTCGTTTGAAGACTAGCGGCAAGACCGGTCCGCCATTTCCGGTCAAACCGAAGCAAGTGGAATTGTAAAATGTTACAAGTATAGTAATCCTCGTTGTGGTCAATAATCCGACGACCAGGTCGAAATGCTGCTGCTATCAGTAATTAGTTGGTTCTCAAAGCGAAGATTGATATTCGGGGATACATTTACTTGGAGTCGCATCTGTAGCTGAATTTCTTGGAGAAACAGGTTCCCCGAATCCATTTCGTCCTCATCACCGACATTGTAGGTAAAAGAAAGGAAAACCTCCATTTGGACGACTGTAGTTGCTATTCTTTGAGCTCGCGAGTGAAGCGGTCCCAATTCGCAGGGAAACCACACCTGTGCTTGTATATAGGATCTTCGAAGGCAATGCGTAATTCGAACCGTGAACCGGTGGTATTAATTGTCTGGAGCATGGCGTTGAGACCATCGAGGATATCCTCCGCGTCGTATTCCTCTACAACTTCGACTTCGACATATGACAATTTCTTCAAAAGATGAAGATTGATCTTTGCATGAGACATTGGACCTTTTCTAGCGGTTAACGGTGGACACTTTTCGAATGGAAAGTCTACCTGGCACTGTACGCTGCAGCAAAGTGGTCTCTTCAATAGATCCATGTGAGATGTTGAGAATCTTCTGGACAGTGGGAATATCTTCGAACATAGCGAAATAATCTATGGGACCAGGGGATCCCGCGGGATGCCCTTTCGTTAACTTTTCGATGGCATCTCCAGAATTCGAGATATCCAGCAACTGGAGGCTTGGACGTGAATCGAGAAGCCGACGTGTTGAATCGTCCAATTTCACACTGATCAGCGCCAGCTCTTCTAAACGCAGGAAGCCAGATAACGCGAGAATAGGAATTCCCGACAAGTGATTGAGGTGCAAGGCGGTGACGAATGGGAGTAGGAATGGTGTGAATGTCTTGCTCGAAGAAACCAGAGGGAGTATCCTGGGCCCTTCACCGCGAGTTTTCGAAACGGGGTTGCGGATTTCGTGAGCAAATTGAGAACTCGCAACCACCGAGAATCAGACGAGACTCAGGTATTATCTGAATCCGCGACCATGAAATTCACTTCTTGTACGTAGTCCGCGACGGCCAGGTCTTTCTTGAGAATTTTCTCTAATTTCTTGGTGGGCCGGACGCAATTCTTTCCGCGAATGCTGGTGCTACTCCCAAGGGTTATCACTCGGAAGATATCAACAAGATCTGGGCAGGAAGGATCGACAGATTGCGACAGCTTAATTCCTGTGCCCACAAGGCGACGGAGGACCGCTACGAAATAGAGGGATAGCGACCTATGGAGCATGTCGAATCGGATTTAGGCTTGAAAGCCCCGATTCGTACATGAGGAATCTGTCCGCTTTCGCTTCCTCCTCGTAAACCGGGATTACCTTCGGCACCCATTCGTTCATCCACTCCTGCTGGTATGGCTTCCAAATACCCCAATTCCGAGATTTGCAGTATTCCCAGTGTGAGGGGAACCATCCAGCGCTCTCCCAATCGAGGACTGCGAGGACTTGGCCAGTGGTCTGGTCGATCATGATATTTCTCGGAAAGAGGTCGTTGTGAGTGAAGACCAGAGGATGGCTCTTGGAGTGCGCAGATTGAACGAAAGCAGGATAGGCGTCCATGGGGCGGCAGTGGCGTAATTGGAAGTTCATATGGTCTTCGTCACGAAAAGGACCTGCTACTCCGTCATCGTGCAGCCGGTGGCATTGCACGGGTCCCCCACCCAAGGAACAGATCGCTCGCACATCAGGGGGAGGGGGTATGGCACGGAGCTGACTGATGTAATTGGCGAGTTGCTCTGCGACAATGGCTTTGGTGTCGAACGGTAACTGGTCCCAGGCCTCTTCAAGAACCATGCCATTGACTCTGGCCATAAGAATATAGTGGCGGTCCTTGTAGGATATATTCGCCCAGACGCGAGGAAGGGGAATGGATGTATGGGAAGAAACAAAGCGCATGATTTCCGCTTCCATTGCAAAGCGTCCGTTTTTTACATATACCCAGCGTCCGATGGTAGCTGGAAACACATCTTTAACTTTTCAGGATGATAAGTAGTCTGAATTGCTCACCATGCCACAGAACCTTCCACAGGTTGAATCCGATAGTGGAAATCTGCCTGCCCCATTGTTCGCATCGCCAAATAAAGCGAAAGAGTGGCGAAGCTCTCTGTCGCAACATTCGTTCGAACTCCAAGGTGTCTCTGTCTTTGCCTGATACATCGTCTCTCGAGTCGCGAAGGGCGAAGAACCAACGGAGTCTATCCATCGCTTGTGTGACGGCGGTTGAAGAAGAGATGTTCATCTGAATCATCGCTGCGTTGTAGGTTGGGATCAGGGTTTCAATTTTACATAATATTCAACCTTCCAATCACGTGGTGCGACGACGCTGATCCGAGAATATGCCGGGGGCGCTAATCGTACCGGCCTTAGTGCAAAGAGCATAAATCATATAGGTGAATATAGGTGGGAGGAACTGGAAACGTTAATAGTCTACGACGCGCACTGATCCGACCATCTGCCCAACGGTTTTCGCCCCGGCCTTGTCTCCCAGCCCACAGATGTCGTGATAAAATATGTCTTTCCACCTCGGGTGCTTCATGCTGTTGAGTTTGAGATTGGCGCCTTCTATAAGACCGAGTTCGGTGAGGGTACACAAGGCGCGCATGACCCATTGGGAGCAGCTCCAGTGGTCATGGAAGCTAGTAAGTGGCTGACCATTTTGACCGATGGGCTCTCTGTTGAGAGTAGATGCAATGTACGCTGCAGTGGCCATCACGGTTCCAAGACGAACACAACAAACGAGCTTCGAGCTCATCGCAATATTGTGGGTGCTATGGCCCCTCACCCAACCGTCGACGGCTTGGATCTGAGACTCAGGCGAGCCGTCCGCGGTGCGAATATGAAATATCGGGATGGTGCCGCTCAGGTCGTTGCTCGGGGCGAGTGCAAGCGCCCAGTGGTACTTGTGCGTTTCAGTTGTGTTGTATAGAGCGATGAACAAAGAGAAGGACATGAAGTCGTAGTAATAATCTGGAACCTGGGGGTGAGCAAATGTTCTTGTAATATGAGATAGTTGACTTACTTTGAACTTGAGTGGGTTGGTCTGATGCGTCTCATACTCTCCGTTCGTCGTCCTTTAAGTTTCTGAACGCGGCGGCTGACTGTATACCTGGGATACTGCCTTATACCGACGCTGAACATAAGTATCATCGGTGACCGGAAGGGAAATCGCCATTACTTAGTACTTCAGGACGCATCGAACCTCGTTTCCGGTCACGAAAAAGAATTACACATGGTATTGGGCCCTAACAATGCATTTCGCCGTCATACAACTATATGACGATTTGTCGCTCCGATTCGAATGAGATTTTTGAGACGTCAAAAATCGAACACCCACCGAGGTGTTCAGCTGTAGCAAGAATTGTCTTGGCCTGGTCCCGTCGAAACTTGTCCGTGCTTCATTGGAAGCCAGAGACATGTTAAGTGCGTACACACATAGTGAGACCAAACTTGAAAGCGAATTGGCAGTGCCTAGGGTTTATCCCTCTGACTCTATGCTGGTCCTTATTTCATTTCGACGCAAGGCAAGCTCACCATAATGGAGAGTCAATATCAATACAATTACAATTTCGTTCATAGTAGGCTGAACAGATAGCACATACTGCAAGCATACGGAAAGAACAGACCTTCCGAATCAAAATACATCAAATCACCCGAGCTGCGTTTCGCGATCGGTTAACGGGACGTACTGGAGACAAGTATTCAGACCTTCATTCATGGCAAGCAGAACAAGAACTCACTCTTACGCCCATGACCTTCTTCTGATGGATATTTCCGTGCTCGTCTTTGTCGATTTGCTCAATATACTGCATGAAGCTGCCCACGGGGATGAACATCCTCCCAGGACTCGCAAGCTGATCGACGAGGGCCTGTGGTACAGTTGGAGCCGCTGCTCCAACATGAATGGCGTCATACGGGCCTAGAATTCATAAGATCTAGCGAAGCAATGACGCTGTTCGACTCACCTCCAGCAGGGTACCCCTGCCTCCCATCACCAGCGGTCATTGTGATTTCGCCCGTCCTGAGGGCTTCGCCCAAGCCATCTGCCTCAAGATTCTCCACTGACCAGTCTACGAGTTCCGGGATGTGGTCGATCCCGACAACTTTGCCACCGGGGCTAACGAGATTATGGAGGACGGCTACGAGATATCCAGAGCCGCTTCCGACATCGAGGACTTTGGACCCCGGTCGAAGATAAGGAAGGAGATGTTCCGATGCATAGGCATGCTACGATATCGTGAGAACACAATGGCTCAGCAAAGGCGGGCTGCTCACCATGTGGGGTGCACTGATTGTCGCGCTATGTCCGATAGGCCTGCCATTTCGTCGTTGAGTATGCCCGTTCGAGATCCTGCCACTCATACTCGCAGTCATGCGACATATGACATGGCAGTTATATGTTTACGCAACTGAGGTGAATCCTCGTATGCATCCGCTTTATCCAAGACGTAGCGTGCTCGGTCCACGGCGTTCATTGCCTGAAACATAAGAACATTCGACGATCAAGTCCATGAACACAAGAACACGACTCACCGACATAACTCGCTCCGAATGAAAGATACCGTTCGCCTTCATGTTCGCGATAAGTTGGGAGTTCGTCCTCCCTGTGCATCGCCAGGCCATGGTTGTAACTTCGTTTAAAGTCTTAGATGGTTATGAGAGTGTGTGTCGGACAACCTAAGCTACAGTGACGTAAGGACACACCGGAAGTTCCCGTTCCAATTCAGGCGCCGCTGATATTTCTGTTCCCGCCAAGCCGGGATCCTCTTCCCCAAGTCCCCAAGAACTCGCCACTTCTCGAGCACAATGACGGCAATAAAGCCCCACAATCTTCAGATCCACGTCACCGTCTGGAAAGATCGAGATGTTTGTTGACCTTCATATGGATGTTCATCTGTATATGCTCTTCTTCCTCGACCCTCGCGACATCGTAGCAATGGGAATGGTGCGGTTTCTCAGTTATGGATTCGCGCTTCGCCTTATCTTTTCTAGACTTGCAAATACTTGCATGAAATTTGTTCTCTGCGCTCCATTTGGACCAACGCTCTCTGCAGGATGTGCTTTCTGAATGGCATTCTCATGCCCAGTTTTGACTTCAGCATGCCGACAGACGTCTTGAAACCTGCCGCAACTGGACCAGATAGGACAATTTCGCTCTTGCAAAACTACGACTCATCTGCTGCCTATATTGGAATTGGACCATTGTTATCTAAGGATATTTCCGCTCCCAAGCTCGGCGATCGACAAACGAAGTTTTTCTCCTTATGACTGTTCCTTGTTCCAGGAGGCAGGTTTCGTGTCACTGCAGACGGCCAAATACTAGCGGTATGGGATCTCAATCAAAAAGAAGTGAAGGCTCCTCTTCTCTTACACGGGTTTATCGGGCGATCGTACGGCCTGGGGCTTTCCCAGTTGATCCTTCTCCTGATGCATCCACGATGAGGATTGCAGGCTCTCGAGATCAAGAAGGGCCCGCAAGGTATGTGCGCATTTATGGATTTAAAAGGATTGTCGAATAGCTTACATTTGGTAGAGCAAAATTCATTATCTATCAAGTTCAGTTTGCAGGTCACGCCATCAAGGAGTTGACGCTACGGACCTATGTTCTGACCTTGGTGGTCGAAGATGATCTGATGATCAATACTTTCACGACGGCTGAGAATCTATTCTATTGTGGATATGGGGACTACCTCCAATTGTGGAACTTTGTGAACGATACCTATGCTCGAGGGCACATTCCCGATAAAGAACACGAAGACGTGAGTGCTGTCTATCTAGATATAAGGCAAACAGCTCATATGCGACCCACATAGATCCTTATTACCAACGAGCATGTTGTCATCATCACCAAGAAGAGCATTTCCTTGGAATCTATACCCCGGGATAATGCGCCAGGGAAACCACCTTGGCTTCTTGAACCCAGCTTCGTCATTTCGCTTATCTTCGGGGAAGAGAACCCTCATCTAGAGCTGTACTCTGAGCGGCTTCAAGACTGGTATAATTCAAGTCATATGCTCACCATGCTTGATGTAGTGTTCGGTGACCCCGAAAGAGAAGAGTACACCATTTCCACCTTCGCCGTCACTCTTCCGACAAGTAATAGCCCTGGATCTATTGTGCTGAGGGATTCCAAGGAGCGTACAGGACAAAACGTCAAAGACTGTGCAGCTGCAGATACCAGTGCTTGTAATGGTTACATCCTCAAAGGGCGGCGCGAAGATCCAAGCATATATAACAATTCCCTTGTTCCTGCCAACTGTGCAGCAACTGGGCTGCATGATTTATATGTCGCGGTGCCGATGGACGAATCATCCTATCTAGAAAATGGCATCGAGAAAAACGCCTTCGACCCTACTTCGCGACGTTTATGTTTCGGGAAGGATGAAGAGACACTATTTTGGACTACCTAAGACACCAGGTACAACATCATTACCTTTATTCGACTCGAAAGTGTGCACTTGACTCCTGAGGTTTTGAGGATCTGTAATCTTGCTCTGAAGGAGCAGGGGCGAAGTGCTGAAGTTACAGTTTTAAACACAGAGGAGCGACATCCGAGTTGGTCCACGATTTAGTGTCTGGCACTCTATATTTTGCGCGGAAAAAAGGGCGAACAGTGTACGGAACAGATTATCGCGTGAAACAACTCGCTGACAGTCGGCCGTTCACAGTATTTCGTTCACTTTAAGTCGCCATGAATTTTGAAACACAAGTATTCGGACGGATATAAGGAACGCGACGTGGGCGCTTAAATAATTCAGACAAATATGTGCTATCAAGATCGGCTGCTCTAAAAGTAGTACAGAATCCTTTTAACCTGCGGTTTATTTCCACGTGAGATGAAACAAGTTCGTCGGTATCATGGACATGTCATGAGTCAGAATATCTGCATACTTGATCGGCCACATGAGCTCGTGTGATACATGACTCCGCCGAGGTCTGGTGGAAACCTTCCGGCGCTTAGCAGTCCGAGTCTACGCGAGTTCATTTTGGCTGTCTGCGCTGTGCTGCCTCGCGCTCGAATTTATACAAAGTTCCCTTGGACTCTGACCTTGGGAGTCGATAAGGGATTATCAAGGCACGATCTTGAGCGTTACGCTGAAGGAACACACGTTCGCCCCGGCGCTGATATCGTAGGCAAGCATCTTCGGATTTGCAAAAGGAAGTGGGACGTTATCGTGAGTCGAAGGCTTGTCTTTGATCAGCCTGTGCGGACCGTTGTCTCGAAAACCATGATTGCGGCCTTCTTTCACTACCCGTCCCCATCCCATGATAAGAAATGGGGCGTGGCTGCGACTGATTCAAGACGTACCTTTCCATGCAACCATTATACGATACCTTTTTTATCTGCTCTGCTCTGGATAGCACTGACTGATGGGCGACCGTTCTTCCACCGCCTACATCACGGTTGCTGCTGGCATCAGTCTATCTGCGACTGATCTTGCGAGGGAATGGCCGTAAACATCGAGGTCTTGAGGGGGTCTCGGGCTAAAGCTGTGCATGAGCTGTACGTGTGATTGATGCAGTCATTTAAGAAGATTCTTAAGTCGGGGACCAGCGCTCACTCGAAGGGCCTTTCTCGTGTTATAATCGGTTCTTGTTCCCAGGTGTTCTACCAATCTGAGGTGATCAACCGCCATTCCGGCTCACATCACCCGAAGAAGCAGATGTATTCGTGAATTCAAATTCCTTATAGTAGGGAGACCTTCGACTCGCTCCTGGTGATGTCTTCCCCAACGACTGAGACCCAAGCAGTACGCCACCTGTCCGCCCTTTCCTTATTGCTGCAGAGACCTCTGAAATGGACGCGTGATGTTCTATATAGGTTGGCGGGGAAGTACTTCCAAATTGCGTCATTTGTCATGTTAATCTACGACCATGGTAAGTATTTTCCCTCCTCTCTCTGTCTGTGGCTCCTGACGGATTTCTTTCATCAGGAATAACTTTTAGTCAAGAGGCCTGTCCCTTAAATTTCATGGAAGCATGTTGCCCACCACTGACACGGGTAGCGCTAATCTAGGTCGAGAGGATTTGGAGGCCTAGGTTCTCTGGCGCCACGCTCCTCTTTCTAATCAACCGATACCTTACAGCGGTCCAATTCATAATAATGATAGATGGTATGTTCTCCCTATTGTCTTTCCGGAAATTTCAGGATGAATCGGGCCCCTAGCCTTTCATGACCCGGCATGGCCCCCATCCGTGTAAGCTCTGAATCCAGGTCGAATGGTTTTTTAAAACCTTTGAAACACATTTTTAGCTGCAAAAATTTCGTGAAATTCGAAGGGGCTTCAGCGGTTGCTCTGATATCAAGTTCGTTTCACACCGCTTCTTCTTTCATGGTCTGATACCTCCTCCCACAGTATGCGAACGTGCGTCTCCATCTGAGGACATTCCAACGACCGTCAGAGGCCTGAATACTCGAATTCCCCAGTCACCATGATACTCCGGGTCTACGCTCTATACGGAAGATCGGCCCCCGTCTTGATTTTCTTGTTAGCTCTCCTCGTAGCTCAAATAACCATTTCTGCCTATGGCGTGCATTTGGGGTTCCGTGAGTTGGTCGCCAGTGTCCTCTTGAGTAACTAATTGACGCCTGTTCCAAATTAGCGGTTCCATCTATCCCTGGTCTACCTGATGGACACACAACTGGGTGCATCTTAACTTCAAGTAGCAACTTCTCATGTAGGCCATTTTCTCCAACTTTCCTTCCCGGAGTGGTGTTCAATATGTCCGGGCCCACAGCATCATTATGGATTGCACCGCTTGTCACAGATTCATGCCTCTTCGCTTTGACATTATGGCGTGCGCGACGCTACCTTCGCAACGGAGGATATGCAGACCAGAAGTTACGGTAATTCGCACTTGCCCTTTCTCTTCCTTCTCCATGTTTATCTACCGTCCACAGAATTGTCCAGATCGTGCTGCGAGATGGAACTCTGTATTTCTTCGTCATCTTCCTCGCCAACCTAATGAACACTATGATTTATTTCGTAAGCGTTCATCGATCATCCTTGGCGTCGAGCCCGATACCCTAACCGCGTGCATGACACTTAGCTCTCGTCAGCTCTCGACCTGAAAGCCATCGGCGCCTCCTTCAGTCAACTCCTAACCTCTGTCATGGTCTCTCGGCTCGTCTTGAACCTACGCTCCGTGCCACTCCCGTCGGCGAGCAGCCGCTACCACACAACTACATACACAACGACGAGGACCGATCAAGGTAGAGGGTTTGAGCTTACCCGCCCGCTTAGCGCCTCATTTTTGGATTTGACACTTAATCACCTTGGAGAGGAGGTGGAGGATTTTGAGTACATTGATATCGAGGGGGAGGGGATTTCGGATAGGATGCCTGTTAAGAATAGACAGGGAAGCTGGAGTCGGTCTGCACGGACCGCATATCAAGCTTCTGTTGCTTGAATATGTCGAGTGACGCTACCACTCATACTGTTCATCCACACTGTAATTTTAGGACCAAGCACTTTGCTTACTTAGTTGTATACCAATTGTAGGGCTCCTGTATCCATAGCCTTTATAACCAGACACGGACATCGCCTTTATCCTTCAGCTTACATTCCAACACTTGAGACAAATAAACTGCCAGATTGTTTCGTTCACACTATACTGCATCTAATTGGCAATAAGAGATAAAATGACAGACGACCAAACGGAATTATGCAATGGGAGTACAGGATTTCGTGACATAATGAGTGAGTGTCCGGATGACAGATATGTACACATGCAAGAAAAGCGATGAAGCGAGAAGTGCGGGAGTATCGCCGCCAGGGAAAGAGTCATGAAACGAAGTGTCCAAACCATGAAATGTAAGAGTCGTACCTACTGCTGTCCATGATTCAGCGTATACAGGCCAGGATTTTATTGTCGTCCTTCCGCCGTCTAGAACCAACCTTCCTTCCCCTGTACAGCTGGGCTCGCGTTGACCCGTTCGTTCGAAGGGACCCGTGTGCTGAGAGGCTCGTACTTCAGGGATCCCTTCCCGGATGTCGTCTTTGTCGTATTCGCTGCCGTGGACGGATATGTATAACCTGCTGCTGCTCCTGAGCCCGAACCTGATCCCGCCCCAGAACTGGTGGCGGAGTTGCCATTTTTGGCAGAGCGCTCTAGCTCGTGGTCGGCCCGGGCGGGGTTCTCTCGGACCGGAGACTTCTCGTTGGGCATCGCCGGTAATGAATCGAGCTGGACGTTGCGCTTGAGGATGTCTGAGGCGACCGCCGCGCCGTACTGTTCCGCTAATTGACTACGAGAGGAATAAGATTTAGAAAGAAAAGACAAAAGGAATTATACGCGTACTTGGCGTAGTTGTCCATGATGATCGCCATGCTCGTCATGCTGAGCCGGTACGCCTTGGGCATCATTCCTTTTCCAAACCGGTAGGTGACGTGGTTGGAGCAGAGGAGGCCGGCGACCATCACGAGCAGGTGGAAGGGAACGATGCTGAACGCGATTGTGTACCACCTCTTCAACGCACCGCGCTCGAAGACGAGGTACCCCAGTTTGCATCCGGGGAGAATGCTCCGCGCGTAACACGTCTGGCTGACGGTAGCCTCAACGAAGGGGGAGAAATATCCACAGCATTGAAGCTCGTTCTGGATCCTGAGGCGGCCTTCTGCTCCGAGGTCCTGCGACCACTGCGCATTGATCTTCCCCTCCAGGTTGAACGTGCGGCGCTTGTACGTCATATACCCTGGTACGAGGAGGAATATGAAGACAATCCAAAGCAGGAACGTGTATACAGCCAGGAAGGAACGGTTGTTGAGGAGGATCCCCGCCCAGCCTACCAATGACGTGAAGATTCCCAAGCAAGCGAATATAGTCGATAGGATAAGTTCAGGCCGGTTGCCCACACGTATTATGTCAGAGAACGTGAACGTGTTGAACCAGGTGAGAAGACAACCGATGAGAGCAGCGAAAGAGTAGATCGTCAACTAGAAGAATCGTGAAGTTCTGAATTTGAAAAAGACGCGCATATATACACTCACGGCAAAGTTGGCGACGAGCAAGGTCCATTTGAACTTATTCCATCGCAGAGGTTTCCGGTGACGGGTGACTCCTTTCGAGATTCCACCCCCACCACCTCGTCCGAACCACATCCTGCTGTTGCCATCCTCCATCAAATCACTCTCTTCATCTTCGTCCTCATCGGCGTGTCCTGCGATCCGGGCCTCGCCAGTGCGAAATGCATCGACACCACCACCCATCTTTGGAACCCCGCTCTCGCTCAACTCGCGTTCCCTCCCACTCCGACCTACACGACGCCGTGGGCCCTCCTCGAGAGCGGCGAGATTCCCGCTAGAGAATTTGGTCGGGAGATAATTCACGCTAAGCGAGACGTTGCTTTCGGCATGAGTCAAGCCTCCGGCACTCTCCCTTCTTGAATAGCGTGGGGCTGGCGATGCATCGCGCGACGAGATTGGGGTGACTGGGATGAGAGCAGCGCTGCTGCCCCCTGGCCCGGCAGAAAGTGTGTTCACCTCAGAGCCTTGAGTGGCGACAGGAGAGGAGGAACCGCTTCGGAACGGATTTGATGAATTGAATGGTGCCTTAGGGGGGTCAAGCCGCATTTTGGGGTGAGTTTCGTCGGTGTCTGAGAGGAGTCGTAAGGTCGAACGCGCTGGCGAGGATACCTGTTCGTTATCTGACGACCTGAAAACCGTGTCAGAATGTAAACGAGACCGAAGTCAGAGAGTAATGGTGGAGAAAGGAGCCGTCCTGCTTGTTCAAGTTGCACATGGAGAGCTCGTGCTTAAGACTCGTCGGCCTGAGCTTGAAGAGTGCCCTCGCAACGGCTTACGTCCTACCACGAGGATGGAAGAGACGAGACTGGGAAACGAAGGGACACTTGCCGTCTTTCTTGTGTCCGTCTTGGCCTCGTCATTGCCTCGCTTCTCATGGATGTGAACTTCGAGCGGAGGTTATTGTGGGATCAAAGGGACAGCAGTTCAGGGACAGAGTATTTATATGGGTATTAACTTTCTCACGAACCCACGCCGCCACAGTACTTCTGCTGCCACTGGCATGTTGACGATAAGACACTTATATCGTTCGCTTTACACGATGTGATACTTTGTCATGTTTAGCAGCACTAATTGGAATGAATGAGAAAACTCCTGGCCTGCACAAGCAATTGACGTAGTCATCATGTCGACAATACACGATCGCCAAGCGCAAGACGAGCGCTAATTCCGATTGTCGATAAACTACGTCGTCATTTTATAGTTCATAATGTGGACCGGGCACAAAAGATAGCACAACATGTATTTCACTCAATACTATGTACGATGAGTTCTCTCAGGCACGCTCAGATGACCGAAATAACTTTGTGTAGATGCATCGTGATCAGAGATCTCATCCAAGGGGTAAGACAGATGACGGTAGTAAGAATACTTGCCACCAACCCCCACCAATCCCGGAAGCACTTATTCTTGCCGTGAAAATGAGCACCGTGCTGCTGGCTCATTCGAAGGACTTCCCCTGGGGAATAATGCTCCAAAGCAGTTTGACTGGGCCTGTGTTCTTTAAGCCCCGTGACTACCAAGAGGAACCGCAAATCTGCGGTGAGGGACAATCTGAGCCGGAGCCATCATCCAATTCAATGAACTGAATTAGAGCACGAGCAGCCCACTCAGTGGTTGGACACGGCAGGGTCAGGGCGTACGTTTCCTTCCTTCATGCTTTGGTACAAACTATAACTCAGCTAGATATGCCTCTCTTCTGAGCAGAATTGCCCTGAGGAGGCCTAGAAATAACTGAGAGCTCAAGGAGCCCAAGCCTCTTATAAATGAACTACGCTGATGATCACACCTCGATGGAAGACGGATCGAACAGCGTGTGATCTCCTCTGCTACGAGACAAACAAGATATATACCCAATCTCTCTGGCCTCACGGACAACCTGTGCGATTTCTCGCCACAGCGGCTCTGAATTTGTACGCTGACACGAGCTCTTTGATCTTCTTCCGAGCCAATCTAATTTGCCCTTTCTTATGTGCAGGTCCTATGGAAACTACTTCCAAGTCGCAACATATACCGCCCTTGCTTATGATATTCTTCTTACCCTTGATCGAGAGGTAATTTATAGTACATGAATTGCTCCATTGCAGTCAATACTAAATCCCAGAAATTTCAGGTGGAGCGAGTATGGAGACGGAGAGTAACCGCAATCACTATACTGTACTACTTCAACCGCTACGGAAACCTCCTGCAGTATCTCGTAGTTATTGGTGGTAAATGGCCTCGATGAGCCTAAGTAAATTTATCTGCCGGTCTAACGGTTGTAAATAAAGCATTCCACCATCCTGCCTTTGTGGGGGTCGGGGATCTGTAAGTCTCGTCCCACTTAAAAACATAGATATGATAAGTGGCAAGTGCCACTCGAAATTCCCAGAATTTCACGTCATTGTACATCTGTTTCAGCACTCTTGAGTCGTTCGCAGTTGGTGTGCAGGTTCTTCAATAGTTCGTGGAAGTTGGAACAGGGCGATCCCTACTACTTAAGTATTTCCGTGGCCGTGGTCGGCTTGTTGGGACGGCCCAAATAATCTAATTTAGTCTAAAACCGATTCATAAAGTGTTGACAATGCCCAGAAGTAACTCAGAGAACCCCAGGTCAAACTAGAGTCCTCGACATGCCCCTTTGAGACACGCGACTGGTCACATGTTCGCTTCAAACTCCGTTCACTATCAGAATCGATATTCTCCCTCACTATAACTCTGAGTAGCGCATCAGAATTCGCCTACGAATCTCCAGTTTACAGTGGATCAAGGTGATAAGGAGTCAAGAGAGATCTTTCAAGGCAGGAAGAGTTCCTGATCGTGGGAACAGTATGCTTTTTGCGGAAGGAGGCATACCCCATTGAACCGGACGTCGAGTTCCGTCCGGACGCACGATGAGGAAACCCATCTTTCGCGGGCATTCTTGTCCTTAAACTTTGTATCTGAATCTGTGCGGAGTGCCTTACTCTCACTGCTCTTGGGACTCTTCAACTCACCACCGTCAGGCGATAGGGACATAACCAATCACCGTCGGTCTCTCGCAGCGTTGTGGACGCTATATCGCCTATTCAAGACTGCGAGCATGAAGAGCAGTTATCGACGGCTGCATCGCTACGCACTGGTATTAGCGTGCCAGAGACGGGAACCAGGATTGTCGCGTCTTCAAGAAAGCCTCGGCGTCGAATTCCCGCGTCGCCAATACCACGACGAATCGTTCGGGTTCCGCAAACCGCGAGAGTACGAGTTCCCTGATTGTACGTTTCCAATGTCATCAGAACCCCGGTCTCCGCCAACGCGTACCGTCGACAGATACACAGACTCAGCTTGAGAACCGCGCCCTTAATGCACCGCTACTTCGTTATGTAGATTCTATGCGCACACATGGACACCGAGCGGCCAGGATTGATCCATTGGACCTTATTCACCGCGAAGAAGTCGCTGCACTCTCTCCAGCAAGGTATGGTCTCGTGGACGATGGCACCAAGTACAACGTCAACGGCATCGTGTGGACCAAACGTGTCGGCGAGAGGGCAGAAGGAGAGGGTGATGAATGGTGGACGCTGAAGCAGATTCAGGAACATCTACGGAAGGTTTACGTTGGGAATATCGCATATGAGGTACGTACCTTGCACTCTCTTTGAGGTCTGGATGTTCATTCTCGCACCAGTTCATGCACTCTCCTTCCAAGACCGAACGCCTTTGGTTCTCGCACCTGCTCGAATCTCAGTCACTACCTTCTCCGGAGGATACTCCTCTGGTAGTCATCGATGAGCAGAAGAAAAGACGCATACACGAACTCTTGGCCCGCAGTGAAGTCTTCGACAATTTCTTGCAACTGAAGTTCCCGAACTTGAAGCGCGTATGATTCTCGTATATTGCTGCGTGATGCTTCCGTCTCACTCATAGCATTCTTATTTAGTACGGTTTGGAAGGCGGAGAATCGATGTTACCTGCTCTCGATTCGCTCTTCTCGGCTGCGTCTCAAGCAGGAGTTCAGCACATCGTCCTGGGTTAGTCATTCTTGTCAAATATATGCGTTTTATTGTCTGACATTTAACCTTAGCCATGCCGCATCGAGGGCGCCTGAACCTCCTGACTGACATTCTTCAGTATTCACCTGCTGGCATGTTCCATAAAATCAAAGGTGGCTCCGAGATTCCTGAAGAACTTGGCGCGGAAGGCGACGTATTGAGTCATCTCGGTAGGTCATGCTCCCTTCTTGTCTCATCCATTGGCCTAATTTTTTCAAAACCTAGTCTCGTCGCCTTCGCTTTCGTATGACGGCGCCTCTCATCCGCTAAAAGTGTCTCTGTTGCCCAACCCATCGCACCTAGGTTTCTACATTCCCTCTTTGATGAGCGACGATGGCCTCTGATTTAGATTTAGAGGCTGTTAATCCGGTTGCTCTCGGAAAAACTCGCGCGAAACAATACTCTCTGCTGAAGACCTCTCCGGACGACTGCAAACTCGGCGATCGGGTCATGTGTGTACAGATCCATGGAGACGCTAGCTTCACGGGACAGGGTGTGGTCATGGAGTCTTTGGGTTTGAGCAACCTGCCACACTTCACGAGTGGTGGTAGTGTTCATCTCGTCGTTGAGTGAGTCGGCGTCTTTGCCTGTTTTTGCGCGCCAACTTACTGACCTTTCTTCAGCAATAAGTACGCTTTACTCTCCGCTTGCAACGCGTTCGACTTACTAATTGACCTCCTCAATGAAAAGCATCGGCTATACTACTCCGGCTTCGAACGCCCGCTCTTCATTGTATTGCTCGGATATCGGCAAGATGATCAACGCACCTGTCCTACATGTTAATGGGGACCATCCGGAAGGTGCGTTCAGGATTTCGTTGCCCCATATCCCTGTCAAATGCAACCATACCTCAAGATGTGGCAAAGGCGATGGACATTGCGTTCAGGTATAGGAACTACTTCAGGAAGGATGTCATCGTGGATCTTTTGGTGTATAGACGATGGTGGGTCCACCTATCCTCTTTGCACTGTCTCTTAACTCACAAACTGTCTTCAGGGGGTGCGAAAATGCTTTCTTGATATCTGAATCCTGCTAATAAGCAATCTAGACACAACGAACTTGATCTACCCGGCATCACAAGCCCCCTCATGTACGAGAAAATCGCCGCTAGGAAGTCCGTTCCTCAGCTCTATGAACACAAGCTCATCGTTTGTCTCTCATTCGTCCCTTACCGGCTCTCTTACCAAATGTGCCATCCAGGCTGAGAATGTCCTCACTACCGAAGCCGTTGCCTCAGTCCGCAACTCGTACAAGTCTTACCTCGAAGCCGAGCTTGCGAAGGTCCCGTCTTACGTCCCATCCGCCTCGATGCTGGAGAAACAATGGAGTGGAATGGTCTGGCCTACGAGTGCCGAAGCGGAGCATGATCCCGCCACTGGTGTCGACAAGGAGATTTTGCAGAAGGTTGGCAAGGCTAGCGTCGCTGTTCCGGAAGGCTTCGTAAGTCAGCTTCTTGGACCTTCGTCAACCATAAGTATACCGGACTAATGTTTCGTCAAGGAAATCCACCCGAAACTCCATAGGCATGTCAAGAACCGATTAGCAAGCATCGAAAATGGAAAGGGCATCGACTTTGCGACGGCTGAGGTACGTCCCCCGCATGCAAAGCTTGGAGATACACCGACATCCCTGTCGGCCTGTGTAGGCTCTTGCTTTCGGCTCTCTGTTGCTCGAGGGCACGGATGTCCGCATCTCCGGCCAGGACGTCGGACGAGGTACTTTCAGCCATCGACACGCGATGCTTGTGAATCAGAAGAACGAGGGTGTCATCGTTCCGCTGAACGACGAACTCAACGCTGATGGCAAATTGGAATTGGCAAACAGTGGGTCTTTTTCTTTTGGCTTTATGATCGTTATGCTGACGCGCTATTTGTGTGAAGGTTCGTTAAGCGAGATGGCTGTCCTTGGGGTGCGTTTTTCATTGGTGTGCTAGGAAACGTACACTGATATTATTCTTCATAGTTCGAGTACGGTGCCAGCTGGGAACGGCCCAACTTGTTGCCCATTTGGGAGGCTCAAGTAAGACACGCCGCTTCAGGTGTCGATAATGCCCTCATTACTTTGTCTCGCAGTTCGGGGATTTCTTCAATGGTGCTCAAATCATGATTGACACTTTCTTGTCCTCTGCAGAGAGTATGTATCGAGTGTTGTCGTGCCGTTGATACTTTTCTGACGGAGAATTTCAGCTAAATGGTTGAAGCAAAGTGGTATCGTCATGATGTTGCCACACGGCCTGGACGGCGCTGGTCCGGAGCACTCCTCGTCGAGGATTGAGCGGATGCTTCAGGTAATTGCCTTTCTATATTCACCTTATGGCCAGGCCTTATATATCGATTCGTAGCTCACCAACGATCGATACGACGGCCAATGTAACCCTCCGAACGTCAACATGCACGTTGCTTATCCGACCACCCCGGCCCAGTATTTCCACCTGTTGAGACGTCAGATACGCCGGAATTACCGCAAACCATTGATCATTGCCGGACCTAAGGGCCTCCTGAGGTTATCCGTACATCTATTCCCTCACTCTTCGCGATATCTGCTTGGCTCAGTGTCAATCTCTTAGGCCGCGTCGTCCGCTCTTGCCGAAATCGAAGCTCGAACACGCTTCCGTCCGGTCCTTGCTGACCCTCTCACAGAGAAGACGAAGGCGAAGCGTGTTGTCATGCTCTCTGGGAAAGTCTACTACGAGCTCATCAAGGAACGCCAAACACGCAACTTGAACGATGACGTCGCCTTCGTGCGCATCGAGGAGTTGGCCCCATTCCCTTTCAAAGAGCTAGCGAACGTCCTGTCGTCCTACACCAACGTGGAGGAGTTTGTTTGGCTCCAGGAAGAACCGAGAAACCAAGGTGCCCATTCGCATGTTGCAGGAAGGATAGGGTCGGTGCTCGAGAAAACGGGTTGGAAGGGCAAAGGGCTAAGGTATATAGGACGGAAGGAGAGCCCAATTCCAGCTCCTGGAGTCGGGAGGTTGTACCAAGCACAGCAGAAGAGGTTGCTCGAAGCCCCGTTCGAGGATATCTGACCAATTTCAACTCAGAGCGATGTAAGTAGAACAACATTTTAGATCCCGAGCCGTCATGTGCTCAGCTTTATCCGCCTGTGCTTCTGTCCCTCGTTTCCTTGCGATACGATCCACTTGCTTTGCTAAACTGCGGCTTCGTTGTGGCTCCCGTCTTGTGCTGATCTTACATCAGCAGTGGGGCATTTAACTTGTGGTGGATTGTGGCTCACAGCGTATCTTTTTGCTTCTCTCCCACTTTCTACAACGCCTAGCGCCATGATACCCACCTTCCCCCAGGAGCTCATCGACGCCATCATCAAGGAGCTCACATCAGACACGGAAACTCTCAGTGCTTGCAATCTGAGTTCGAAGTCTTTCCGACGCAGTGCCAGACCACAACTCTTCAGAAAGGTTTCCATAAGCGTCAGGAACTGTCAGGCGTTAACGGTCTTCAGAAGATGGACTGTTGATGCTCGTGAATGGGACTTCGACAGCATTGTGCCATTTATTCGCGAGTTCACTCTCGATTTTCAAGAATTACACGACGACGAACACCAGAGGGGAATATTTAACGAGACAGCGAGGATTGACAACCGAACTCTGATTGAAATTCTGTTCCAAATGGCGAATCCGAAAGTATCCCGCATGACGAGTCTCTGCGTGGCCAACCTTCACGTATCCAGCCGCCAGTGGTCCAGTTTTGACCGTGCTTTCATCTATGCTTGGCAACAACTATTATGCCACCCACTGCTGAGGTCTCTTTGCCTCGTCAGGGTGGCTTGGCTGCCTCTGCACTTCGACCTCGACCTCGGAATTAGCATTCAGCACCTGGTTGTACAGGAGGACCCTATTCTGGACTTGAGTCGACCTCCATTGCAGAGGGTAGACGACCGCAGGAAACCTTCTACAGTGGCGGGGCGACAAAGAGGTTATAATCTGGAGAGCCTCTCAATTGATTCATTATCCCAACTTCTCGGCTTACAAAAACTAGAATCAGCCGAAAGTCGACAAGCGTGGAGATACAAGGAACTTCGTGTTCGAGTCAAGTTCCTAGAACTGTTTTCCTTGTTTGACGAGAACACCTGGAACTCGTCCCCGAACGCTCTGGCGGATATTATAAGCCTCCGTCTTGACATGTGGGGTGTGTTTCATTACCCTTGTTTGCACTACGACGTGTTAACTCACTGATGGATACCATCGCCTCCCAGATTTCTCTAAGGCCGCAAGAGTGGACGTCGACATTGATACCCTCGTCGGCTTTCATAATCTCCAGGCGCTTGAAATCGTAACAAGCAACAAGGCCGATAGAAACCTGGACATTTTGAAGCCATTTTGCACGTATATTCTCGGCCGTACAGTTCAGTTTGGATGCCTTCGAGAATTCAAGACTCGTGTATAACTGGCAGCCAATCGGAAACCACAGTGCCCACGGTGTATCGCGCTGGGCAGAGTTGGATAGGATATTGTCGCGCAGTCCCTGGTCCTGCCTCGAGACCTTTCAGTTGATAATCCGTTCAAAGGCCAAGAATGCCGAGTCGTATCGATGGAAGGCAGGATTAGCTGAGTTGGCTCAAGTTCTCTTTCCGCTCACGCTCAACAGGGGAACACTGGTTTCCATTGTAGAAGAGTCGTGTATATTTCCTTCTGATGCCTTGTGAAGCTATAAATTCTAGACTGGACAATTGTGGCGACTCGAGGAAGGTATAATCGTGCAGATGTTCCACTGTTCGCCCATAGTGGGGGTCGCTCAACCAAATTGTATCTGATTCTATTTAGTTCTTATCATTCTTTCGGAAAGAATGATAGGCGAACTACCTTCACTTAATCCATAATCATCGCATGAGTACTCAGTGACGAAGGAACCGGGCTGAACTATACGTTGACTCTTAGATAGATGCAGAGAATGGGACAATGCCGGCCTGCGTTGATATACTCGGGCTCCCCAAGGCACCCACGTCGCAGCACCCCCCCACCAGGTCTGCTCCCCATTTGTCCTTGAGTCGAATGCCCGACAGGCGTCTGTGAGATTCAGTGCACCCGCTTTTTGTCGGTATGGAGCATTTTCGGTTTCTCTATTTGCTGATTTTAGAATTTATGTACTATCGTAGATGCGCATTCGAGTAATTCACTAACCTTTCGAGGTATTGTTACGGGCGCTTATATTATTCCGAGATATTGCCATGAGTTCGATCCCGCAACATTGCTTTATGACGCTGCTTCACCGTTTACTCTTCTGGTTACACTTCACCCCTCAGGACAAAATCCCCAAAAGTCTCCAAGATCCTTGAGGTGAATGTTGTGAATTATGCGATTCGTGGACTTGGAAGAGTGAAGAGCTAGGGTCCTGTGAAATTTTAGGCTTTCATGACCATGAGAGTGGGTTGAATTTGGGTTGTCGCAACTTGAGCGAGGCTTAATGTTTCAGGAAGAGGGCCCCTCAGGCTCTCCGGAGTTACTGCGTGGCCCATAGCTACTCGAAGGATGATCAACTGAGGAGACAAGGCCTAATGCGACCGTTAGCAGCCTAAATTCCAGATCGCCATAGAGATCGAGGAGTACATACCACAATAGTTCCCCACACTGCTGCGGATCCCGTCGCCGCTGGGCTACCAATTCCGTATAAAACAGTTAGGGAATGGCACGGTAACCCTGGGTATCCCAGCAAAACCCGTACCCCTACCCGTGGCAACCCGTACCTGCACCCAAGGGTACGGGTTTTTCACGGGTAGGGGTCCGGGTTTTGGTGGGGTCTACGGGTACAAAAACCCGTGCGGGTTGTCGTGCGGGTCACCTCGCAGAAGCATCACGGAACGTCAACTGACGTCGTGATGAACATCTGCGAGGGTGAGGCACTCAAGATGTGGTGGGTTCGTGATACAGCAGGTGCTCGCCAACCTCGGCGTCATGCCAGGGCAGGTCTTGTGCATCGGCGTGGCACGAATATTGTGGCTGTTTTTGTCTGTGTGGCAAGGCGGGTTGGTGTCCGCGTCCTCATCATCGATCGATCCTCCGTGGCGTGTGCATGCAACGGCGAGGTGGTGGATGGCCAGCACGGCTGCAGGGCGTGTGATGTGGCGCCAATTGAAGGTGTCCCAGGGGCGAAACTGAGGGCATGAGGGCAGGGGCATCTGTGGGGGGCGGTGAGTGAGGGATGTACTCGAGACAGTCATGACTCACCTAGTGGGTCTCCCCTTGCTGGGTCTCCTCTTACATGCTCCTCCCCTCGATACTCGGTGGCTGCTGCAAGGCGCTCTGCCTTCGTTATGTTTTGTCGTTGTTGAGTAAGAGAGGATCGCAGCCGCGATTGCCCATCGGCTGAGTTTAAAATTTGGCCGAACTTTCGGCCGAACCCCTGTTACCCGCGCCACGGGTACGGGTTGGGTGTGGGTCAAAAAATGCCAACCCGTACCCGTACCCCAGAGCAACCCGTGGGTCTACCCATGCCATTCCCTAAAAACAGTCATGATGAGCCCAGAAACACTGAACGGCAATGCTGATTCGACAAGGATGGCAATGACACCGAGCCGTTTGCGTGCCAATGCGTGCCTGCTATGAGGGCCGGATTGGGGAAAATTTCCCTGGTGATTTTAGACAGAGGAATTTGTATTTTATACATTGTGAAATCAAAATTAGGATACATGCAGAGGCCATTTTATATGCACACATGACAATTTTATACACACATGTGCAGATTTTTAAACACACACACGACAATTCTATATACACACACAGCAATTCTATATACACATACGTCAATTTTATACACACACATGAGGATTCTATACACACACACAAGGGTTTTATACACACACACACACACACACACGAGGATTTTATACACACACAGGGTGATTTTATATACACGCACAGCAATTTTATATACACACACGCTGGTTTGACATACACACACCGACTTTTGATACACACACTCGGCTATTGGCATCTCGCCTGCTGAGCAGAGCTCCAAGCCTCCTGGCAGACCTCAGCAAATATTTGGTGCCTCAGGACACCAAAATTTCTCCCACAGGTCCATTGGGGCGGGATGGGCTTGGTTGATGCCCTTGCAGGCGCCCGTGATGCACTTTCCCACACATCTGATGCGCACCAATTTTGGTTCTGCTACCAGTAATGCTGGCATATTTTGGCCAATTCTGGACCAAATTTCTTGGAATAAAAAATATGATAAACCGTAGAATATTAGTAGCTCTCAGTAGATGCCTTTGTCATGGCATATTTCTCACATTTGGCAGCTCCAGGGCCAAATTGGTGTTCCCCACCTCAATAAAAATGTGAATGCAGCCTCATTTCTTTTTATCTATTAGCCAGTTACATAATCCTACTTCATGATCACACATCCTTCTTTGCAGGAGAAGGTCTGTGAGGCTGCATTCACATTTTTATTGAGGTGGGGAACACCAATTTGGCCCTGGAGCTGCCAAATGTGAGAAATATGCCATGACAAAGGCATCTACTGAGAGCTACTAATATTCTACGGTTTATCATATTTTTTATTCCAAGAAATTTGGTCCAGAATTGGCCAAAATATGCCAGCATTACTGGTAGCAGAACCAAAATTGGTGCGCATCAGATGTGTGGGAAAGTGCATCACGGGCGCCTGCAAGGGCATCAACCAAGCCCATCCCGCCCCAATGGACCTGTGGGAGAAATTTTGGTGTCCTGAGGCACCAAATATTTGCTGAGGTCTGCCAGGAGGCTTGGAGCTCTGCTCAGCAGGCGAGATGCCAATAGCCGAGTGTGTGTATCAAAAGTCGGTGTGTGTATGTCAAACCAGCGTGTGTGTATATAAAATTGCTGTGCGTGTATATAAAATCACCCTGTGTGTGTATAAAATCCTCGTGTGTGTGTATAAAATTGATGTATGTGTATATAGAATTGATGTATGTGTATATAGAATTGCTGTGTGTGTATATAGAATTGTCATATGTGTGTTTAAAAATCTGCATGTGTGTGTATAAAATCATTGTGTGTGCATATAAAATGACCTCTGCATGTATCCTAATTTTGACTTCACGATGTATAAAATACAAATTCCTCTGTCTAAAATCACTGGGGAATTTTTCCCCAATCCGGCCCTCATGGTGTATGAACTACGCACCTACCAGGAGACCGCCAACAAAATCCCCAGAGTACGAGGATCTTTCAATAGGATAATCTACAGGGAAGGATGCTATAGTAGCACCGAATGTCATAGCCAAGTCATGCAAGCATGATCTGATGGGGTTTTATACGAGCGAGGCTGCGGTGGTGGTTGCCTTTTGTGAACTCAACTTGTTTCAGCATTTCAATGCTGGAGGCTATCATTCATTGTCTAAACCTCCTTGACAGAAGGAATGGTTTTGACAAGCATCAATATCACTTTGATTGACTGTCATTGTCAACTGATAAAAATATTTTCGCCTTTGTCCTTCATCGTCTGGATTTGGTCGGAATGTTTCGCAGCAAGGAAATTTCTGGTGCATCATAGTGTGGGTCCAAGAGATTTCTAAGAGTTGAAATATGTTCATGGTAGTATGTAAGGATAAGATTGAAACAATATGTACAAGTTCCTGTTGATTTTACAATGTAAAGCGACTGCTGTTAAGCCACCTGCCACGCCCAAAGTGTACAATTAGGCCAGCCACTATGAAGGCTGGATTGGGGAAAAATTCTCCAGTAATTTTATACACATGGAATACGACTTAATACACAAAATTTCAGATTGAACACACACAGAGTATGGGGTGAATACACATGCAATGCAGTTTAACACACACACAATGGAGTTTGACACACATGGAGACTAAAGTCATACACAGATGGTCCGTTTCAACACACACAAATTGTTATTTTACACACATGCATGGAATTTTACACACAGAGAGTGCTTGCCGACACACACAGAGGCACTCATGGTTTGACACACAGGAATCTTGGCAATTTTGGTGATCAGCGGAGCTTAAATAGCTTGGCATTCTTGGTTGGCCTTCTTTGGGCGCCCAAGGCGAGTCCCCCTTGGCCCACGTCCCCAATACTCCTCGCCCAATTTTATTACCTAAATAAGCTATATTACTCTTTAATTTAAGTTTACAAGCCCCTTCTACCCTTCAATCTCAACATCAGCACTTCTACTCCCTTTACTCACGTGAAATGTGCCTACAAAGGACTCCGGGGTGAGGCGCACGAGGGCAAGCTAATAGTCAAAGAAACCTTGTGAATTAATTTATTTGGCAATAACTTGAGCAAGATATTAACCACTTGAAATGAAGTTCTAGGGAGTTTCAGAATGCCCCGTCTAGGGTATTGGGAACGCGGGCCAAGGGGGACTCGCCTTGGGCGCCCAAAGAAGGCCAGCCAAGAACGCTGAGCTATTTAAGCTCCGCTGATCGCCAAAACTGCCAAGATTCCTGTGTGTCAAACCATGAGTGCCTCTGTGTGTGTCGGCGAGCGCTCTCTGTGTGTAAAATTCCATGCATGTGTGTAAAATAACAATTTGTGTGTGTCAAACTTCATTGTGTGTGTGTTAAACTGCATTGCATGTGTATTCACCCCATACTCTGTGTGTGTTCAATCTGAAATTTTGTGTATTAAGTCGTATTCCATGTGTATAAAATTACTGGAGAATTTTTCCCCAATCTGGCCTTCATAAGCCACTTCACCATCGAGACAATGCTCACAAAGGTGTTTGATGCTTTTGGCCAAGACAGATGAACCAGATGTCACTCAACAGGTGATCATGGGGGTCAGAATGCAGAACACTGAGGGCATCGGCAATTCCTGATTGCGTTATGGGTGCTATACGAAGGTACGTAGCACTCTGTAAATTGGGAAGCATCCTGATAGACAAGAAGATGCATTACAGCGCTATAGCACATTACGTAGCGCTACGTAACACACCATAGCACACTATAACGCTGAAATCGAGGTCATTTTGACCCTCAAAATCAGGATTTGCTGATGGGGACAGAAAGGATAAAACATATCCAAATCTACATGATTCTAATCCACACTTGTTAGCCCTTGATACAAGCTTGATGTTCTGGAGGAGATGATACTCAACACTCCCTAGATACTGCAACTTCAAAGGTGGCCGTCAAGGCGAAGTATTTTCGTTCCTTGAGAAGGAACCCAGGGCACTACAAAGATGACAGTAACGAAAAGCCTATAGAGAGACAATGATGGGCACAATTAAGAATCATTGAGATCAAGTAATAGGGCCTGCTTTGCTCACCTCAATGACAAATGTATGTTGGAAATTGGTATGTATGAACAATGCCACTGACCCTAGTTCTGTTAAACATTGTCAGCCTCGTGGTGATGGAGATAGAAGAAAGAAAGACAATGAAGTGTGTCTACACGAGCAAATGATCATCGATGATGTAAGCTTTCTCTCATACTCTTCTAATTCATGTCACCACCGGCTTAGCTCATGCTTCTCATTTTTCATACAAATGGCAGTCTTTGCCAATTTCTGACCTTGTTTTCTCTATACCTTTGTCCTGATATGTAGCCTCCAGTGGTCTTCAGGAGTCCATACAACACACGGCATGCCACGTGCGCCTCCGTAGAATCCAACCAGATTGATTCCCATCCCCCAACATCAAAGAGAACGAAGCTTAGTTCTCTTCAGCTATCCTTGGTGAGAACAGTCCTATTATTAGTTTGCTGTCTTTCACTCTTAGAAAGAATTCACGCACCGCCCTCTATAGCGGCATCAACTGCCTTGTCAGGCTGTATCCGAGTGAATCTGACTTGGGAGGAAACCCCCAATAAGAGAGTTGAATAATAAAGGGCTTCAAGCAAAGATTCTAAGCAAGGTAATGGAATCTGCACACCTCCAAAGACAATTTCTACATTGCTCATTCAAATGCCAGAGAACATCTTTGACTTCTTGACAAGTGTCTTGTGCTATCATACATAAGATAAACAGGTGAGAGAGGACCTTGTATCTTCATAGTCGATGATAATCATGCTGCTATAGGCTTGTCAGGATGGCCCCTGCACTCGGGAGGATGAACTATAAGAACTAATGCCCAGAGGGAATCCATCAATCGAAGAAGGATGGACTCTCAGGCACTTACTACTGCAGTGAGATATGGGTGAGCACCACTTACCCCCCATTTTTCTCCTGATCCATATTTTTCCCCTTCAGCATCTATGCGAAATATTGCCAGGTCGCCACTTATACTGTTCTCGTATACGAGATATTTATTACCTTCCATCAAGAGGTGTCGATACAGACTTGTTCCATTTGTCCGGATGTACCTCGTTGACCTTTTTTCCCTTCCCTATGTCGAAAAGATCTGGAAGTGGAAGATTACTGGCGTCACCATCTTGTATTTGATCAACCGATACGGAAATTTACTTCAATACCTGGTCGTTATTGTAGGTAATCTGATGCCACTTTCATTGCTTCTCAAGGTTCTCATAAAATTACGATGGATGTCCACAAAAAGCTTTCCATCATCCTAACTGGACGGGTCAAACGTACATCCCTACAGGAACCTACACATTTCATAACAGAAGAGCTCAAAGACGTTTCTTGTCGAAGACGCTGGCGTTTTGTGAGGTACGAAGGAATAGGGACCGACATTCTTCTCGGAGGTAAGTGGTTATCCTAACCTGAAGACTGCTAATACGGCGGGCGCCTAATTGTGTGAACAGTCTCAGAATGTGGGTCATTGAAGCCGCTTGTGAATCGAGGAGCTGCTACATTTTACACAGTAATAATGATACTGCGAATCTACGCTCTCTACAATCGCACGATTTGGCCATTAGTCCTCTTGCTGCTGATCTGGGTTGCTCAGATTTGCGTCGTGGCCTGGTTTATCACTCTCTGCGTCGGTGAGTGGGATATCTTCTTGGTCTAAACTCAGCACTAATATCCTTTATTTGAGCCATGCCTCTCGTACCGCCTCTCGTAGGTACTGCTCCAATTTTACTTCCCACTTATCATAGTCGGTCTGAGTAAAGCGCTGGCGATTTCTGAAGGATGTATCATGGTCCTTCCCGCGGAACTAGTGAACAAAATATGTCAGTATTGTTATCTCCGGTCATTGAAACCTTCTCATTATTTGCGGCTTTAACAGCCTGCATATGGATCTTGTACCTCGCTCTCGATGTCTGCATATTTGTTTTGACTGTATGGAGCACGCGAGTGTATGTTAGGATGGCGTCCAAAAGTCGGTATGGATCCTTTTGCAAATTGTCTCCTCCTCGCTTTCCACTAATGCCTACACCGCACAAGAATCATACGCCTATTCATGCGTGACGGAATGATGTATTTCATCGTTATTACCGTCATCCACCTCGTCAATGTGGTCTTGTACTACGTAAGCTTCTCTACTTTTGAGAATGCTCCAGCATCTCTCAATAACGTCTCATCTCTTCTAGGGACAATCTGATCTCTTGAGGGCATTGATCGGCGTTGCGTTCTCCCAGATCATGAGCTCCGTATTGATTTCTCGTCTCGTTCTCAACCTTCGATCGTGGCAAGCATCCCCTCTCCCAGGAAAAGGGATGGAAGCAAAGAGGTGTTCATCCGACGGCGCTCATGCAGCCGGATTCAACCCGAAAATATTTTTAACAGTCGTGATGTGCCGGGGGATCTGGGGGATGAAACCCAGATGCAGACGCATGAGAGTGGTCTTACCGGAATTTGAATGGAAATTCACCGTAGGGGAGTAATCTCTCTTTTGCCCTCAGAGTGATTTGGGATATATAAATTGTCATTCGTTCATCAACACATTGGAATTACCTCTGGGTGCCTGGCGAGTTTCTGCCCGCTCCTGTGCGCCTGGATGCTGCTAAACCTTTCAAGCTCTTCAGGGCGCACCGTCACCTTGCCCTTGAACCCAACCTTTCTCACCGCCTGCTTCAAAAAATTCGTGCGGTTGGAGTAGAAACTCTCATAGATGGAGGCAGCGCGTGACTGGGCACGCTTGATAGGAACGCCAGTCGCCCTCGCCGCAACCTCCTCGCGGGTCTGTCTGAGACGACGTTCGCGGAAGGACTTGATGACTGTTGCCTTCATGGAGAGCTTGATCCAGTCCAGAGGAACGAACCAAACGATGTTCTGCAAGGGTATGTCAAGATAAATATTCGCATTTTTTGCGGATGGAGGGGACATACCCAAAACCAAACGATCCCAATATACCCTCCACTGACGCTATGAATTTGCGCGAAGCCCCAGTCGCAGTACGCGGCGATGAGACTCGACACAACTTGTGCCACAACGAATGTTCCCATCAAAGCAAAGGACGGCCGTTCCATAAAGAAGAACCCATGAGAACGAGTGACAAAGATAAGAGCCTGCGAGATGATGGCGACTTGGAGGTAGGCGATCATGTGTAGTTGAGGATCGTTGGGGTCCACGGGGCCAGGGGTGCTCAACTGGACGCCAAACCTGCTCTGGAAAAAGCTGGTCTCGATGATGACGACGATAAGGGTGATACTGCATCAAAGCCAGGCGCAACTTAGTCGAAGTGTGAGAGAAACTAAATAAGGGAGAAGACGCACGAAGAAGTTGTCAAATACAACCCATACGCGATGGCGAACGAGAAGATCTCAGTCAAATCCCACACATCCGGCTCATTGGAAGGGAGAGCACGGTCTAGCGGCAGCGTCATCGTCATTCCATAATTGAGCAGTGCAATGACCAGCACCATGAACGGCCGGAAATCGAACTTGTATGTGAACGCGAGGACAGCGAAACAGACAACCAGAAGGATCGTCACTGCACACACGTAGATTGAATAGCTCTTCAGGCGATGCAGAGTAACACGGGATTGTCGTATAGCCTGCACGACTGTCGAGAGACCCGGTTCGGTGAGGATCATGTCCGCTGCTCCTCGAACCTCGTCAGTTGCTCCATCGACGGCGATTCCGACACTGGCACAAGACAAGGCTGTGGCGCTGCTAGCCTCGCGTCCAACCATTGCACACGAGTACCCCATCGCTTGGAGCTTATTCACGACTTCGCCTCTATGTTCTGGGTAGATCCCTGCAAAGCCATCTGCGTACAAGACAATTTCATCGATATTGGAGTGGCCTTCTCGGAGCACCTTCGCAGCATGCATATGATCACCCAACCCAATGCGGCGTCCTAGTTCCTTGGCTATTGATAGTTGGCCGTCGGCGAGCAGCTTCACTTTCAGGCCGAGCGACCGGGCTTCTTCGATAGCCTGCTTTGCATCTTCGCGAGGAGGGTCGAAAATGGGGAGGAAGCCAACGAACTCAAAGCCTTCACCACTAGCTTCGAAATCGTCTCCGCGCACGTCTTCGTAGGCGATGGCGATTACGCGCATTCCTTGTATGGCAGCCTCTTCCACGTCGACTTCCAGTTGGTCTTCAAACGCCTCGGTTCGGTTTCGCGTGCATAATTCGACGATGATCCCTGTCATACCCTTGGTGACGCGTTTGATCCTGCCGGTCGCGTTTTCACGGTACGTGACCTCCGTACGCCCATCTACTGGGTTGTAAGGTCTGAGTTCCAGTACTTCGATGCCTTCTCGGGCCTTCTCGGGATCTTCAAGAGCGCGCAAGATGACAGCATCCTTGGTGTCAGGGTTTTCCGTCTGCGAGGCGTAGGCGGCCAATTGTGTGACTTCTTCCCGGGAAAAGCGGCTGTATGTCTTATTGCCACCCCCGTCGACGGTGGGGACGTTGGTCGTCAGCGTGCCGGTTTTGTCAAAGCAAAGAATATTGACCCCAGCAAGCTCCTCTAAAGCGGCAAGACGAGTGACGATAGCTTTGCATTGGGCGAGCGTGGTTAATCCTATGGTGACGGTGTAGGAGAGTGTGTTTGGAATAGCGATAGGTATACCACCAATCAGAAGAACAATAATTGAACTGAGCCCCCAACGATATGGGAAGTGGAAGCTGGCATAGAGCACGAGGATTTCTGCGACGACGAAGATTCCAGTGATGATGAGGCAGAAAGATGCAATCTGCGCGATAAAGTTCCGTAATCGGTTTGTTGCATCATCTTCAGGGCCGACAAGTGAGGCTGCGCGCCCGAAGAACGTATTGGGTCCAGTTGAAAGGACGATGGCCTCTGCCTCACCATTTCGGCAGGTTGACCCCCTGGGAAACTCCCGTAAGCACAAGAACGCGCGGCTGAAATCGGCCCGACTCACGAAAAGCATTTATCTCCAACATCCTTGCTCTGGGTTAAACACTCCTCGGTCACCACCGCCTCGTCGACGGACAAGTTCATGGCTTCAACAACAATGCAGTCTGCAGGAACGATGTCATCGATCTTGAACAAAACGAGGTCGCCAGGGACGATGTGTGCGCTGTCGATCTCCTTCCACGAGTTATCGCGGCGCACTCTCACTTTCGGGGCTTCGGGCGAGTCTTCTCGCGCCTTGAGTTCAGTTATGACCCTCCTTTCCTTGTAGAAACAGGTGACAGAGGTGAGTATCAGAAGGAGGATGACGCCGCTGAAGGTCTGCCAATCCGGTGGTTGATCCTCCTTGCCGGAAGGGACGACGGCGAGGATGGCTGCCACCTCCATCATCCACGCTAGAGGGTTCCACAAGAAGCCAATAAACTAAATTTCAAGTGAGTTTACACGCTTTGCGGTGGATATATGCACTACTTTACCTGAATAATTAGGCTCTGGTGCTCACCCTTGAACTTGTTAGGCCCGAATATCTGCAATCGCCGATTCGCTTCCTCCTGGCTCAGGCCATTCCAATCGCTTTGCAGGAGTTTGAACACCTGGTCGATCTCAAGCGCTTCTGATTCGATCTCGTTCAGTTTCAGGCCTGAGGCGAGATCAATCGCCTGTGACCTAGAACCACAGGAACGGCATTCGCAGGGGAGTGGTGTAACGCAGGACATGGAAGAGAGGCCGAAGTAGGAGGCATCGCGTTCTGAGAGGTCTCTGGGAAGCTGAAAGGCTGTGACAGGTCGTGTGTGCATTTGTTTGATAGCACATGTTCAATGATGTTGCATGAGCGCTAACTTAGCCATTGGCTGGCCACAAACGCATCACCTGCACAGTAGCGAATGAGCAAAGCAGCGATCGTAAATACTGGTCCGGGATGCGAAGTACAACATTGCATTGATCAGAGTATAATAGTCTAATCGCGATTTGGTTTACATCTCCGAGAATCAGGAGATCACTTCAAGTTGAACTCGTCATCGACATGGTTGGTTATCAACTCGGAAGTGGTCAACGCGAAACGGCTATTACCTCCTGAGCGTACAAGGGATTCTTTGCAGGTTTTCCCCGATCTGACCCCAAGGACCAGACGAAAACCAAACGGAAAATCATGACTGGCGACAGGAGCTGGGACACCTCGGCAGCTTGAGGGTAATGCGTGTAGTTCCCCAAGCGCCCAAGTGACCCCGATAAATTGTGATGACTAAACGCGACCCGTGAATAGCAATTGAGGCGCTCATACGGTACCACAAATGAGCGCTTGCAGCATCGCGTAGTACTCAGCCGACATTGCGGGGAATTTCTAGGGATTACAACCCTATCTAGGTATCTAAGAAGCAAGATAGAAATGAGATAACAAACGGTCCTCCATTCGTCGACGTTTGAACAGCAACACCAAAGCACTTAAGCAGCCAATGTTGCACCACCAACCGGCTGCCTGCTTGCGTGCCTCGCCAGCGTCTGCCCGCTCCTGTGCGCCTGGATGCTACTGAACCTCTGGAGCTCCTCGGGATGCACCTTGACCTTGCCCTTGAATCCGACCTTCCTCGCCGCCTTCTTCAAGAAGTTCGTACGATTCGAATAGAGGCTCTCGTGGATGGAGGCAGCGCGTGACTGGGTGCGTGTGATAGGGACGCCAGCCGCCCTGGCAGCGACCTCTTCGCGCGTCTTACCGAGACGACGCTCGTGGAGGCGTTTGATAACTGTTGCCTTCATGGCGAACTTGATCCAATCAAGAGGGATGAACCAGATGATGTTCTATATATAAATGACACGATAAACGACTTTGCGCAAATGATCGAGAAAAAAGGCGCACCCAGACCCAAATGATTCCAATCCAACCACCGCTGATGCTGTGGATCTGTGTGAAACCCCAGTCACCGTACGCGGCGATGATACTCGACACGACTTGGGCTACCGCGAAGGCGCCCATCAAGGCGAAGGATGGTCGCTCCATAAAGAAAAAGCTATGAGAACGAGTGACGAAGATGAGGGCCTGCGAGATGATAGCGACTTGGAGATAGGCAATCATGTGCAATTGAGGATCGTTCGGATTGACGGTGCCTGGGTTGCTGAGCTGGACGCCGAATGTGCTCTGGAAGAAGTTGGTCTCGATGATGACGACGATGAGGGCGATTCTGCACCAAAGGAAATCAAGGATAACTCAGTCAAGGTATGAGAGAGTCGAAGTAAGAGGGGAGACCTACGTAGAACCAGTCAAATACAACCCATACGCGATAGCAAACGAGAAGATCTCCGCCAAGTCCCACGCATCCGGCTCGTTCGAAGGGAGAACACGATCCAGAGACAACGTCATGATCGTTCCGTCATTCAGCAGTGCGATGACTAGCACCATGAAGGGAGGGAAGTCGAACTTGTATGTAAATGCCAGAACCGCGAAACAAACGACAATACGAATCGTTACAGAGCATGCGTAGATTGAATAGTTCCTCATACGCTGGAAGATAACACGGGATTGACGGATGGCGTGCACGATCGTGGAGAGACCTGGTTCGATGAGGACGATGTCGGCTGCACCACGAGCGGCGTCCGTAGCTCCTTCGACCGCAATACCAACGTTGGCACGAGACAAAGCTGGAGCATCGTTCGCTCCATCACCCGTCATCGCGCACAAATGGCCCAATCCTTGCAGCCTCTTGACGATCTCGTACTTGTGTTCCGGGAAGACACCGGCAAAGCCATCCGCGTCCATGATCATCTCGTCGAGGTTGGCGTGCTTCGAGCCTGGCGCAGGGCCCTCCTTGAGCACCTTCGCAGGGTACATGTGGTCGCCCAATCCGAGACGACGACCAGTCTCCTTCGCGATTGCGAGCTGGTCACCGGTAACCATCTTCACCTTCACTCCAAGTGCCAGAGCATCGTCGATCGTCTGCTTGGTGTCAGCGCGAGGCGGGTCGAAGATGGCAAGGAGACCGATGAGTTCGAAGCCGTCACCCTCAGCGTTGAAGTCATCTCCGTGAACCTCCTCGTAGGCGACAGCAAGCGCACGCAGACCACGCACGGCGTACTCCTCAACGTCTGCCTCCAGTTGGTTCTCGACTTCGTCGGTCTTGTTTCGTGAGCAGAGTTCGATGATGATACCGGTCATACCCTTGGTGACGCGCTTGAGCTTGCCCGTGGCCTCTTCACGATACGTGATCTCCGTACGTTTATCGACGGGGTTGAATGGCTTGAAATCGAGCAGCTTGATTCCCTCTCGAGCTTTCCTGGGATCTCCAAGAGCCTGGACGACGGAAGCGTCGATGGCATCCTGGTTTTCAGTCCTAGAGGCGAAGGCGGCGAACTGGACAACTTCATCGTTCGAGAAGCGGCTGTATGTCTTTATGGTGTTTCGGTCGATGGTAAGCTTGTTAGTTGTGAGTGTACCGGTCTTGTCCGAGCAGAGAATCGTGACGCCAGCGAGCTCTTCAATGGCGGTGATACGAGTAACGATAGCCTTGTACTTTGCGAGCTGGGTGGCACCAACGGCGAGCGTAACGGAAAGCACGGTGGGCATAGCAATTGGAATTCCACCAATCAAAAGCACGAGGATAGCATTGAGGCCACGACGATATTGGTAACGGAAGCCAGCGTAGAGGACGAAAATTTCCGCGATGACGAAAATGCCGATGGTGACGAGACAGAAAGACCCAATCTGGGCGAGGATTTTCTGCAGGTGGCCTGTAGTATCATCGTCTTGACCGACGAGGGAGGCAGCGCGTCCGAAGAATGTGTTGGGTCCGGTGGAAATGACGACGGCCTCGGCCTCTCCTTGTTTGCAGGTAGACCCCCTGAGAAAATCCACGTAAGCAAAAAGTGATGTCATCCGGAAGACGGGCCGACTCACGAGAAACACTGGTCGCCGACCTTTTTGTTCTGAGGTAACGATTCACCCGTCAGCGCCGCTTGGTCGATCGAGACGTTGACGGACTCGACAAGCCGACAATCAGCTGGGACGATGTCTCCAATTTTGAACGCAATCATGTCGCCGGGCACAAGGTTCGCGCTGTCGATCTCAGACCACTGGCCATTGCGCTTCACCTTTGCCTTCGGGGCGAGTGACTCCATCAAGGCTTTGACAGCGTTTCCAGCATTGCGTTCTTCGTAGAACCCAATGGTAGAGTTGACGAGGAGGAGGAAGACGATACCGCAGAAGTCCTGCCAGTCGGGAGGCTGGCCTTGTCCGTTGGAGAGCACAATAGCGACGAGGGCGGCAGCTTCCATTACCCACGAGAGAGGGTTCCACATAAAACTGAGGAACTGGGCAGGAAAGTCAATATATGAGCTTTAAAGGTGATTTATGCGCGACTTTACCTGCAAAAACGCGTTCTGCTGCTTGTCTTCGAGCTTGTTGGGCCCGAACAGCTCCAGGCGGCGATTTGCCTCTTCCTGGCTGAGGCCGTTCTCGTCACATTGAAGGAGTTGGAAGACGTCTCCGATCTCAACAGTCTCCAAGTCGACTTTCTCCTTGTCGTAGAGATCTTCCGCCTTCAATTGAATCTGAAGATGGATCAGGAATGCGAACAACAGATGACGAGGAGTAAAGAATCTTACCTGGGACATATCCACGTTTGCATCTGATCATCGGAACAGAGAGAATCTCAGCAAGGGCGCGGAAACAGAGTGAAGGCGGTAACACACGTTTAGGCTTCTCTTCTTCTTCCTGCCTATCGTAATTACGCTGCTTCTTCTCCGACACAACCCCCACTCCATTCCCAGTACCGCTCCCAGCCGTCGCTCCAAGATGCCCGTCTTTCTCGCTTTCGACAACCGCGTTAGGGTTTTGCGGTAGGTCGTTCATCCTCAAACCGATGGGGTCAAGATGTGATCTTCAACCTTCGCGAGAGGTCGCAGGCGGTGAGGAGACCAAAGGTATGATATCGAGGTTTATCGAATCCGGGAAGAGAGTCGTGCGTGAGTCGGTATGGAGGTCTCAGATGGCTGTTTTGTCGAGTTAGGGTCGAGAGGTCGAGCCTCGACGACAGCACGGCGAGTTCAAACAAGAAAAAGCACTGCACACTTCACTTGGAGCAAGACGAATGAAGGTGAGAGAGGGAACGGAGAGAAAGAAGGAGGCTGACAAGTAGTCGCATTGCACTCCTTTTATCGCAGACTAATTCAGGCGGCGGAGAACGTTCGTCCAGTATGCAATTACGGTGAAGGCCGGGTCATGAGAGGTCCGCGGCTGGGGGTGAGGGTATAGAAACAAGCGTAAATACGTGAGGTATGACATAGCCGAAGCTTGTTTGGCGGCGTTCCACGGAGATAATGTTGGTCACTTGAGTCTTGAAAATGTAATTCCCAGCATCCTCCGCCCGCAATAAGCATTCATAATAGCGCACGTATCTAATTATTCTCTGTGAGGTGTTCCTTATGAACTGTGATACACCTCACCGGACGACGAGCTGGTACTGACTAAAAATAGAGGGCACTCCAAAAATAGATGCTATGAATGAATTCGGAATAACAAACAACGACTGTGCGGATGATACAAAAGCTCCAACTCCCTGAGTCCAAGAGGTAATTACGACCCACTCTTGGATCCGTAGATGCGGAGTTATTGGTCTCGGCCGACGATTCCTTTGGTATTCGAGCCCTTGTTCACACCGTGAATTATTCACTGTGACGATGCTACGCAAGAAGCAGTCTCTCGGGATACCCAAGCGAGAGAGGTTAAGAGAACAAACAAATCCTATATTATTGGTTCGACAAGAGTGTAACTGCGACTCATTCCTGACAGAAATTCGCAGCGCCCGTGTTTCCGTTCTTCCTCAGCAAAAATAGCTTCCATAAAGTATAGCTTCCATAAAGTTATTTTCATTACTCATGTCTTTCTTGAACCGATCTCGAACGGAGGTGCCGATGGAGCATACACCGTTTAATCCCCTCCTTGAGGAAGCAGCTTTGAAACGAACATCTGACAACGGTGACAAATCAAGCTTGAACAGAAGAAGCGTGGGGTAGTAGCTCCAAGGGATGCGGGATGGTGAAATAACGAATGGCCGGTTAGAGTGAATCGGATTTTGCGGATTTTAAAACGCTGAACATTAAGCAAGCTCGAGATGCCTCAGTCTTTAAATTTCTAGCCTAATGAATCTTATTTACAGCTAAGCCTGCACAAGCGCTGATCTCGAGCAGAAGTTGGAGTTAAATGCAAGTGTTGACACACCCTCAAGGCCTCACTAGATTCTAACGACTCACTCCCTCGAATAAAATCCTTAGTGTATTTACTCTAGAAAAATAATGAGCCAATGTTGCTGGAGGTTCCTTAGGTGGCTGAATTCGGAAGATGAGTCACTCCCGGTCAGGGAGGATTAAACTCCCGCGCCTACGTCATACCTATATTTGAGCGCTTAAGCTAGGGTCTTTATATAGCTTAAAAGGGTGAGAAGAGCGATTTCAGACAGTGCACTGCTCCCTCTTGATTAAGCTGCAATAGTTTATCATTGTCTCGTGTATCAATTCTCAACTCAAATCAGAATGAAACGATCGAACTACGCTTCGTGGGTCCGCCTCATCCGTGTATCTGTATGCCTTTCAGTAATGAACCATGACACCGAGTTCAAGACACGTACAAGACTTAGTAACGCAACCTCAAAGGAGTAGCCAGCTCAGCATACGACCCCCTCGGGAAGGCGGACGCAACTGTCATTTCATGGAACGGCGGCGTATAAGTTTGACGAAAGTGGGCCCAGAGTGTCTGCAGAGAACTTACATGGGCTCCGGAACAGAGTTGCAGCACGTCAGCCCATATGGCTTGCCTGGAACTCGATTAGATACGGCAGTACGGGGAGAGGTCCTAAGGAAAATATGATTTACATGCCTACAGGACTGATGGTTAGAATGATCGCCTCTCGTGTTCGATAATCATTTAAACACTCACGTCTTGGGTATGGCCTGTTTAATTTGAATGGAAGAGGGATCAACTATGTCCACTCGTTGGACGGTAGGAGCGTGCACTTACAAACCTTACCCACGCCCGGGTCATCCAAGGCAGCACCTGAGACGACGGCGAAGGAAGTCGCGAGGAGGAACAAGGTGGTAACGAAGGCTTTGTACATTTCTCTTAAGTATTCGAGTTGCGGGAAATGTTCGTTGTGTCTTGTAAAATAGTGAATGTACCGTTCTTATGCTACTCGACCTCCAATTTCGTAAACATAACGAAATATAGAATGGAAACTGGGTGGAGGGACTCCACCTCAAAGCAGCGCCCGACGTTTCAAGGTGGTTTATGGGGACTCAGAGAGCCGTTGTCCACGGATAGGTCGTATGTACAAAGATAATTAGGGTGGTGCTCGTATCCTGCAGCTCAGATAGAGTGTTAAGAGAGAGTAGCACATGGGAAGCTTAAATAATAATAAGCGCTCGTGGTTCTGGTGAGGTCTAGATCAATTTGCGCCTACAATATTCAAATTCAAATAATTATGATGGTCTGGAGACCTACTTGATCCTAATTTTTATATCATCGATTATATTCGCCTGGCGAAGTCATCGGGCGTAGGCCATGATCGAGCGAGAGTGATCCAACCACTTTCCAAGAATCCGCCACAAACGAGTTTAGGAGCCGGGACGGATCTACCTTGCCGGGTACTCTACCCGTCTAAACAAAATGAATTGACCAGTTGGATATGAATCAATTTCTCCCCCAGCGGTTCTCTGACAGAAGAGAGCAATGAGTAGAAACATGCCGCATTCTACGGCCCGAAATTTCAATGGGAGCGAAGTGCATGGCAACCTTTCCGCCGAATCAAACGGGGCGTCACTCTCACAAGATCATTTATGTAAGTACGAGTATGTGCTTGTCTCCTCGAGTTCGAACCACGGGCTCTCCAAGGCAAACCAAGTGGAGCAGGAGGGACGCTGGTGCATCCCTTCGGACGGATTCGTAAGGAGAATAACATATGAGAATATTTTTGGTAACTCTAGACTAGGGGTTGCACCTAAATAATGACGAGCTAGACTACAAGGAAGTGTCTACGCGTCCTGCAGCTGGTGAAAGGACCGGACGGCACATCCCAGAGAACCAGAACAGAGGACGGAAAAATGGAACAAATCCGGCGAGACTCGACAGGACGCACCCAGTCCAATGCACATCCATCGTATGTGGTAAGTACCACGCCCTGCGGTGTATCACGATGTTGCTTTTTATTGCCAAGCGGGCCGTTCATTATCGGGCATTTCCTTATGGACATACTATTTCTAAAAATAGCATATCGCCCTGGACGGTGAGTCCCCTGACCATGTCTAGGCGTCGAAAGGGTATAGCAGAGGTGCAACCTTCTCGGCTACTTCGCAAGTATGTTAAATGCCAGATGCAGGCTCGTTGAAATCGAGATGAAGCATCACACAATTGTTTGTCCTGTCGGGGGTCGTCGCTTGGGTCTGCACGTCCGTCAAATGCCTGCACAGAGTCAGGAGTCATACGGAGTGCTGGTGTATGTTCCCTGTATCGCAGAGAGTCAGTTAGATCTCAAATTCATGTAAGCTACAGATGCATCGCTTGGTATCCCGAAATGCAACGGCCGTTCATCGCGTCCTCGTGCCTTTAGGAACTTACCTTGCTGGATTTTCGAACACTCTTCAACACCACCGCCGGCTACGCTCTTATTACTGGCTTCTGACTGGCTTTATCTAGCAATCAATTGACCCGGTCGCTGGCCGAAGGGAAAAGCAGCATTCTAAAGCGAAGAAGTTGTAGGTTCTCGTCTGGTTGGGAGTTTGGAGTGGGAAGGACTCCGACTCGTCGTTCGAGATAGAACCGCGTGAAGGACACGAAGATCGGAAATAACACTGACAGAAGCAGAGAAGGCAAGGAGAGGCGATGTATGGCGTAGGTGTGCCGTCATTATAATCACCGCCCGAGTTGCTTCGCCGTCCCAACGCGTCAACAATAACAGGTCCTCACGGCACCTGTGGGTAGATGTATATGAAGTTAGTATAGGGTGATGACTAAGCACAGTTCTATTTCTAGTTCACGTAGACGGTCGTCCATCGCGTCCTTGGCGGAATTCGACGCTGTCTGATGATGATGTCAGATGGACGCACTCGGAACCTCGTCGGACGACAAGTAACATGAGCCTATTAAAGCAGGTAACGGAACATTTGCGAAACCAGAGTAAGACACCTTTCTGAGATACGAAGCATGTGGAAAGGTCTCTTCTATGACGAGATGGGGAGTGATTGGCTTCGAAATAGCAGCAAGAGACCCTGTGGCACTGGTAGGAGCCAATATATGGGAAAATACTGTCCTCTATCAACTAGCGGTCCAAGAAATATCAGCATGGTTCTCGCCCGCTGGACCCGATTAGGTTCAGAGTTGTCAGCGGTCGAAAGCACCATCTCTTCACCGCCCATCACGGCCTCAAGGTGGTGATAGAGTACTCATAGACGAGCAGCCATTCATCTCAGATGATCCCAAGTTCATCAGGCGGTGAAGCAGATACCTTGCTGTGTAACTGAGCTATGTACGAGCGATCTCTCGGGAATGAATTAATAGTACCACGGGAAACGTTGCCTCGAGTCTAGCGTTCACCGACCGGAGCTTATCCCCGAGTCCGGTGTGGCTCCGTCCCGGGCAGAAACGTAATGTTCTCCCGCGGGACCTGTAGCCGAATCATCGAAGTACTGGCGGCTTTGAGATGGGGTCATTTCTTCCGCTCTCCTCAGCACGTCAATTTCACTGCGCCAGTGCGATTCCCTTGATTTCTATTGATTCCTCATATGGCGATGGAGGCGCACTTGAGCTAGTCCGCCTACTCAACTATTAGTGGTCAATATCGAGCTAAATCCCGGGACCGGAGTTGAGAAGTGGGCGCTATGGGGTAGGTTGAGCGCGCAGATTACGATAGGCGCTCGCTGGTCGTGTGCAGCCGGTACCTCTGGCGTCGTAACTTCTCACGGATGTCTCATAAGATCATGATGGTAATGACAACCAAAATGGAGAGAGGGCAGTGTTCTGGTATGTTACTTTCATCCTACGTAGTATAAGAGAATCCTAGAGTAATACAGTAAAAGCACAAGACTTGGCAAAACTGGAGGTAGCAAAAACGGCGAAAACCCGTGAACCTATATGACGGGCCAATAAAATCCAGGCCTCCAATAACCTACATCTCAAATCTCGACAGTTTCTTCCCTGCCTCCACGTCCCGTATTAAAATCTCCTTCCATTGCTGTTGGATTACCAAGGGACTCAGGTCTCGCAATGAACCAAATGGAACGATTTGCATTGCAAGTGGGGCGCACTCGAGAGCGACAGCGGCTACCGTCCCTCGACGCATAGTCTCACTGTCCGTCCGTAGCTTCGTAATCTGGTCAATGCTCGCCACCCAGATCTTTCCGAAAGTTTTCGCTGTCTCGAAATCGATCACTGAGGCGTCCAGAACACGGAAGTATTTGGACGAGACACCGCCGTGGTCAGGCCGATAGGCGAGCTTGACTCTCAGCATATATGTCTGGGAGCGTCTTATATCGCGGGGCAGGGCAAGCGCATGTATCGTCGCCGCCATGAGGAGGGCGTTATGGTATTTGACCCATTTTTCGAGTTTTTGGTCAAGTTCGACGTGTGTTATACCTGGAGGCAGCCCTCGAGTTTGACCCCTCTCATCAGCTTGTTGAAGCTCGGTGAGATGGTCAGCATTGTTGTTACACCATGGTTTGTGTGTCTGTATTATCCCCCATGTCAGTCAGACTTCATGAATCCACACAAAATTGTGGGCGACGCACCGGCCAGTGAGCGGACTGACACTCGCGAGAGCAATATCTGTTTCGCACGCGATGGTGAGAATGGAGGTATTAGCACATCTTGAAGCTGCAGGGGGCATGCACGACGTACCTGGATACCTTGCACCTCGCGCATACCTTCAATGGTTTCTCGGATGCCTTCACATAGCAATTGTCGCACTTTCCATCGACGGCCTTTCCCCCTGGAGGCCGCGTGATCACGGATCCCCGTCCATCGTCCATTCCATCCCTCCTAGGTTTGGAACCGGAGGATGACGAGTGTGTTCGACGACGACGACGGGCTGTTCATGGAGGGTTGCGGGAAGGGAAAGGCCAAGCCAGGGGTATTAAAGGCATTCACTCGATCTTTATAGGGCCGGCCGGCTCGGGATTCGGAACAACACCGGCCACGATCGGGAAGGTTGCTTGGCTGATCCTTGGTTCCTACCAAAAAACAAAGCAAACATGCTGAATGTTAGAGTGTGAACGGCCGTGCCATGCTGAGAGCTACCCTGTGAGCTGCCAGGTATTGTCAAGCCTTATTATGTCCTGAGGCACCCAAATCGCGTACGGATCCGATCGAAGATAAATCTTTCTCCATCAGAGGACTTCCCATTCGGCGGTTTCACTCACAGGGAGGCGCCGTAAAGGAGGGTATAAATGGCTTACATACTGACAAACGTACATGGACAGTCTTCCATTCTGAGGTAATCATTATTTTTCTTGTCCCAAATTATCGCTGCGCGATCGCAAAGAGAGTGGATGTCCTTCTGTCGTAGACAGCCTGAGAATAACGGTCAATACTTTGGTATTCCCCAAAAAAATCATTCTCCCCATCGGCGAGCTCTCATTTCCACACTCTGAGGTCTATTAGTTCACGTCAAAAGTCAAGAGCAGCCATTTTATTGAATCAATCCGAAGGGCATATGAATCGTTCAAAGATCTGGATGAATTCGACATCATCACTAGCCTTCGAACGCTTCCCGTGTCCTTTGGTAACTTTCTAGAATAATCGCCAGAATCATCTCATAAGCATGATATCATAGCGCTTTCTGAACGGACTGCGATCAATTTGCCTAAGCAAGCTGATGGATAGGACAACCTTTCCTGCATGAACAGGCTCGATCCCTGGATGTCGCCGTCAATTAATAATGTTCACTTCAGTGTCATTGTTGGTTAGGTCTCCGCAGAGTATGGACTCCATATGCATGACAGGCTCGGGAATCAACTCCTGCTGAACTCAATACTCCGAGGAATTCTTTATGTTCAGGATCCCCTGGGCCATTAGCACGAACGTAATGTGTTCACGCTCTCTTGGCTGCAGAGTGGCCAGCACTCCATCGAATGTGATAAGTTATTGTCTGGGCTGTCCCAAGAGAAATAAGCTCAGGGGGTCAAGGAAACCTCCTTCGCGCTCAACCTCCACTTGGCTGATGTCGATGAGGACTCGACGTTCGGGAGTGAGACGACATGACAAAGACATCTTAAATAGGTCCCGAGCTGAAAGCAATAGCATATCGGATCGCTCAGTCCATCAGGCCCGACCTACATCAGCTCGAACCCACCGCGCCGACAAAGGAGATACCACTGGGTCGCAGACCAAAGTAATGTTTTGAATGGTGGGTACAGAGTTCCCTAGGGAAAAAACGTCGCAAACGGTGAGTTCGCGAGCAAAAGGCCAGTTCGAGTGCTGATGACGTTTTTACAGAAAGTGCCCGCAACTTCAAGGAGAATGGAGAACGAATTGCGAAAGAGCAGTCGCTCTATCCGACCTTCTCCGGCCAGACAGAGGGTACCATATTTCTAGACCCTAAGAGCTCGTGCTATGCCCGAAGGAGAGACGCTAATGCAGCAGGGACATCGTCTTAGTTTCCCGACCTCTCCGAGCGATACGGACACCAAAAGAGAGAGTTCAGCTAAAGACCTGATGGCCACGGGAAACGGTCTGTCCCAAGACGCGAGATCAGTCGTACTAGAGACTCGTGAAGCAGAAGAATGATAGCCTGTGCGACCGCCGGTATACAAACACCACAGCCGTTCGTTCACTTGACGGATAGAAGAACCCGTTGTGGGCAGGTAGACCAACACACGAGATCCGGTGTAGCGACGATGTCAGCGATCGAAAGCTTGGAAAGACAGTTGTTGTTTTCTTCCAAGGACAGACCGTCGGGATAAAGGGGTTTTGTTGGAAGATGGGTGTGATCGGCAAGATATGGTGAAAGCCGCAGCCGTCCTGTTACTCAAGGGAATACAATGCCCTTCCTAGCTATAGAAGCCGAAAATGTAGAAAACTTGATGCTTTGCCACCGGATGTTGAATTGGGGTCCATCAATAGTCCCTGGCGTCGAATGGCAATATTACGCCCCGATGCCAGTGTTCGTGATTTGACCGACCCTGAAGATGAATAGATAAGTCGTAGCGTCGTAAAAAGGGAGAAGGAAAACGATAATAGCTGCGGGCGGCGCGGAGTCGACGAAGCGCCGACGAACCTCGTGATGAATATGTAGAACTTAGTTGTCAGTCTAAAGTTTAAAATCGCCCGGAGCGCCGTGGGCATCTTGGGCCAGGACAGTTATCGACTAAACCCAGCACTATGGCTGCTGGCCACAAGGGATCTAGTCTTAGCGTCTCAAAGGGGCGAAAGGAATAACAAGATTAGTTAGAGCCCCACGCGAGAGGAATTTGAGGTCTCTGCTTCTTCTACATTTCTCGGCACCAGTCGGAATAATGACATGAATAGTCGCAGAAATTGACACCGGGGCCCGGGTGCGGGCAAGTGGTGTCCAGAAGTACCTCGAGGTTCCAGGACACATGAGAACAACGAGAACAGCAGGAACGCCTTCACGTCCGCGAAGTGGCGCCTGATTAAGCAGAACCACTCGGTTAGAGTACCCCAGGTATCGATCGAGAATGCTTTGAGTGTGAATTCCCTTGGATTTGAGTGGGTCAGCCATCGATTGATCAGCGAGCTGCGAGTGCGCAGCGACATCGAAGTTTTGGGATCCCAGAGGAGCGTAATCGCAAGCGAGATGGCAGCTCATTAATTAGCTCCTCCCGAGAAGAACATCATCCACCGTCGCCGAACGAGGAGTCAAAAAGGGCGAGTACAACGTGGACAGCAGGCAGGAGACCTCCAGTTAAATTCGGGAGGAGATATAATGAAGGAGAGATAGATGCACATCCATGTTTAAGTCTTGATTTCGAATATTTTCTCCTCTTTTCTGACAAAAAGAAGAGGATCTTGTAAGGTCAACAGTCAAAGCTTGACCAAAACGGTGGAAGTCGGCAGAAGTCCACGTGTACGGTGAAGGACGGGCGATAGTGAGAAGATCTCGCACCTTCCGCAGTGCTGCTGGAGCCCACGAGAGCTGGTGAGGGATTGCTCGTGCAGGCCTATTGTGATCTGTGCTTGAGGTGGAGAAAAACGCAAACCAGGTTATGTAACCCCTTCATGCGGAGTTTGAATATCAGGCCTGCCGGCCCGAGGCAGAAACTTTCCAGGGTATCCAGCCGGTTGGGAGAGTCCGGAGCCCGGAGCCTGGAGCCTTGGGCTCAGTGACGGATCATGCCGATTAGATCAGAGGGTGTGGGAAGCCATTAGTCATTTGGATAGCAGGTCGCTGATCTGTGGAGTCGGTGGCGTTCGTGTCGACCACGAAAGACTTATTCTTCACCGTCGAACTCGTCCATGGACGAGTTGTCTATCGTCTTCGCCATGGACAACGACGGCATGGGTGTGCGGATAGAAGGTAAGTAAGCCTCTCTTTCATTCATGAAGGACATACATAACTTACATATAACCCTTAGATTTCTCCCTCACACCCTCGTTCGTCAACCACCCACCCAACGTCAATCCCACCGGCGAACGTCAATGACCCGGACGAGTCGGAGGGGTGCTGGACGTGGGGCGTAGCTCGTAAGCTGTCGCGGTCGATGGTGCATGGCGGCCTACGTTCAATGGGGTGGATAGGGTAAGTCCACGTTCGTTTCGTGCGTACAGACCTGCCTCGTACTCACCTCTTATGTCCAGGCTTCGCACTCGTCTCCGCACTTACACCGCCTGCAGAACCACCTCCTTCGACGTTGGGGAGCGTTACACGTGCAAGGCCGTTGATTGGGCCTCGTATGAGCGGGTTTCGTGGGTTTGAATGGCGAAGGAAGGCTCCTGGGCATCGCCCTCGGCACCCTCCCTCGCAGCCCGAGGCCTTCTCCTTCCTTCGCCGCGTCTTCCCAGATGCTCTCCAGGGACGACAATGGCGGTATCGGTGGGCGAACGATGTCGTACGGGTGAGTTCTCCGTCTGTGGGTATACGAGAAAGTACTTACGTTCGTCCTAGCTATACGTGGTCTCCATCGACAGCACCGCTGGGATTCGTGGTCTGCGTGGTGTTGGACAGCGGCGAGAGGTGTCAGATGTCGTGTATAGTGGCGACGAAGGGCTGTAGGGACGGGGAAAAGAGACGGTAAGTCGTTCGTCTCGTGCTCGATGATGAAGACTTGCCTTAGGTTCATCTTCTAGATGAAGGGCGGAGGGTTGAGCTCGACGTTCGGGGGCGAGCTGCGGCGTGATAACGAAGGTACGTTAGCTCGTTTTAGATGAGTTATCCAAGTTGAGTGACTTACTTTGCCTGTAGATCCTCGCCGTCGCCGTATCCTTCGCCTTCAACACCCTCTACACCATTCATGGCTGCCGCTATCCAAGACCACCGACGTGTTTCGTGTTAGGCGGCGGTCGCGGGCGTTTGGAGATGGGGGGGACATACCTTTCGTGAGCACCGTGACGGCATCGTGCTGCGAGTGCGGACGGCGGTCTTGGGTAGATGGAGAGGGCGGCGAGAGTACGAGAGCAGGGAAAAGAGTTATGTAGTTACGATGCTATTCAAGTCGTTTAAATAAATAACTTACCTTACTATACGGTGTTTGCGGACGTTTAAACGTTGAAGTCTTCGGGCAAAGAGCTGGCGCGCTTGAAGCGCGGTCCTGTTTCCTGCGCCTGCCACTAATTCTGATTTTCCGATCAATGTACTGGGTGTAAAAGAGAGGAAAAATGGAAAGAAGGGGGCTTGTGTGCTCCTTAGAAACACCACGGCAGCGCAGACAA